ATGGTAGTTCTTTCAGTATGATGTCTTAAACACATTACCTTTAATATCTGTTGGGAAGGAAATGTCCAGACTTTGCAAATGTCCTTATTATATGATTCCTCTTTTGCTTATGTAGGAATCAGTATTTATAGTTATGTGTACAGTGAGGATCTACAAAAAGGTGTATATTTTCAAATAATTTTTAATGATTTAACAAATTTGTAAATCATTTTCAGACTTCTGCACCTGTAGATTCTCACTGTGAATCCCTTGCTTGCTCATGCATAAGTATATCTGCAATACCAAAAATACAGGTTCAGTATTGTTTCACATGTGTAACTTCACGAGAGCATCAAGACGGAGTCTCACTTGTAGGTTAAATTGGTCTTGAACTCATTATGTAGCCAAATCTGGTCTCAAATTTGCAGTGACCCTTCTGCCTCAGCCTCCTGAGTACTGGAATTATAGATGTCCACCACCTTGTTCAGCTCCACGTGTGTAACGTTTTAGTTGAGATATTAAATGGTGGGCAAGCACTGTGGATATGAATGTGGGAAGTAATTTTAAACATGTCTAATTGGTCACAAGGCCTAATTTGCAGGAACTATTGCTATTTTATTGAACAGCTTTGCTTTTAACAGCGTTGCTTGTTGCTTTGTGTGCATTGACATTATGGTGTAAAGATTGTGCGGCTCCAACAGGGAACCACAGTATTTACATTGATCTGTTACAACTGCTTTGAGATAGCCAAATGTAAACTAAAAGTCTTAATTAAAGTGGTGTAGTTTTGTATAACTCAGTATCAGTAGTTCAATAAATTTGGATTGCCAAACAAGGGCTTGCATTTAAAAAAAAATAAAACAGAAACAATGTGCTGGAAGATAAAATACGTAGAACTCTTGAAGACATAGGCATAGGCGAGGACTTTCTGAACAGAACCTGAAAGGCACAAGAAATAATACTGAGACTAAACAAATGGAATCATATCAAATTTAAAAGCTTCTGCACAGCAAAGGAAACAACCAACAGAGTGAAAAAGACAACTTAGGGAAGGAGAAAAAATATTTTTTCCAGCTATTCCTGAAACATAGGACTAACATGTGCAATATATAAAGAATTTTACAAAATTAAACTCCACCAAATAAAAGACTCAATCAAAAAATAGGTAACCAAAAAGAAAAGACACTTTTGAGAACTACAAATGACTAATAAATATAGTAAGTGAAAAACATGTTCAATATCTCTGGCCATTAGAGAAATGCAAATTAAAACTATTTTGAGATAACATCTTACTCCAGAAAGAATGTCTATCATCAAAAAAATCTAATAATAACAAATGCTGGTAAGGACGTGGGGGAAAAAGCAACTCTTCTACATTTTTGGTAGGAATATAAACTATTACAACCACTCTGGAAATTAGTGTGGAGATTCTTTAAAAAACTAAAAATAGAAATACCATTTTACCCAGCTATTGTTCTTCCAGGTATCTTCCCAAAAGAGGTAAAATTATTGCATTACAGGCCTACATGCATACCTATATGTTTATAATGGCATGATTTATAATAGCTACATGTTGGAAACCGCATATATGTCCATCAACAGAGGAATAGATAAGGACAATGTGGTATTTATACACAGTGGAGTATTACTGTGCTATAAAGAAAGATAAACTTGAGGAATTCATAGGTAAACAGGTGCAACTTGAGAACATAATATTAAGTGAAATAGACACACGTTTAAACATTGCATAGTTTCTCTTATATAAGAAACTCAAAATATATATATGCAAATGAGAGGTAAAGTGGAAGAGACAAATAGGAAGTGAGGAGAGATCCAGATGGTTCCTATATTACCTATTCTGTTGCAAAAATATTTAACACAAATCCTAATTTGTTTTATTTATATTATTAATGTCTCTTAGTTTACTGTAAAGAAAGTTTTGTGCTAATATTAGTTTGTTCTTTGTAAGAATCTTTTCTTGTCAGTGTCTGGTATTCTGAATAACTGCTTTGAAGATAACAATACACAGAGTATTAACTACTATTATTCTTTTATTATTTTGTTAAGAAATTGTTTTATTTTTTATAAAAGAAAAAAGGAAAAGAATGAAAAAATAAAGTCCACAGCTGTGGCAACTATCCTGTAACCATGATGTAACAATCCTGAAGATGAAAGTCAACATACTTCTACCTGTGGAGAGAAAGGAGCTGAGAAGAGTAGAGAGAGAATCTGGCAAAATGCTCAGCCTATCTTGGGACCACGTAGCTTCATCCTTTTTTAAAAAACAGAAAATAAATATCCTTATGGTTTAAGACTCTTATAGCTGGAGCTATAATTATTTACATTGAACACATAATGATATAGCAGAGATATGACCTAAACTGTACGAACAGGTTTTAAGGAGCAGAAAGGAATACATACACGGATTCTAGTAGTCCTGAAGAGACATCATAGTGTCCTGGCCTAAGAAGAAAGCAGTAAAGACGGAGAGAAGTGGATTCAAGATGTATTTGGAGATAAAAAAAAACAATAGGACTCGCTGTTGGTTTAGATATGACAGAGGACTGGCACAGGAGTTAGGAATAAGGCCACCCTGTAGGTTCTGTGCTTGAAAGTGGTGCCACGTACTGACATGGAGAACAGGAAGAAGAGGCTTGGGGAAGAAGGGGACTGAAGAATTTTTCTTAGATGTTTTAGATTTTGAATGTGCATGAGCCATTCAAATAGAGGTGTAAAATCAGCAGGTAGATATGAGTCTGAAGCACCAGGGTAAGTTCAGGGTTTGGATTTCAATTTGGAAATTGTCAATAGATATATTTAAAACCACAGAAAGAGAGAAGATCCCACTTATTAAAATCTGAGAAATTCTAAAATTAGAGGTCAGCTAGAAGGCAGAGACTGAGGAGAAGTATTGAAAGGTAAGAGGAAAGCCATTACCATGATCAACACCAGCAACTTTGATTTACAGTAAACTTAGCATTATGTAGAACTAACTTTATGACAGGCATTACTCCAAGTGCTTTGTGGCTTCAAAGAAGCAAATAAAAAATGGAATTTTTTCTTGAGGTACTGGGATTTGATCCCAAGGCCTTTGCCCTGAGCTAAGCTACATCTCCAGCCCCCTTTATTGTTTATTTTGAGACAGGGTCTAAGATCCTAAGTTGCCCATTTGGGGCTCAAACTTGCCATCCTCTTGGCTCAGTCTTCAAGAACGCTGGAATTATAGGTGTGCACCACCACACCAGGTTTTTCCTTTCTCCTTTGGCTTTCATCCCTAAACTAAAAAGTTTAAGTGAAGTGCTTCTTGACTTTTATATAATTAATTACTAAATTAGATATTTTTGGAAACTATTCAGTCAGCACAATAGAGGAAAGCTAATTGTGGAAAATAAAGAGTCTCAGGAACTTCCTTCCCACCAGAGGTAATCATTAAGTTTTTTGTATACCCTCTAGGAAGGCTTCAGACATGCACACACAGACTTGTTTTTATAGAAGATTGATTTCTCTCTCTCCACATATACATACTGTTGGAGTCAGGGTTTGCAAGGGAAACAAAACAGGACATATAATTTATAGGATTATTTTATAATAGTCACCCAAAGAGTCATATGAATGAATGAATCCAGGTGAGGCCCTAGATCCCACAGCAATGCTATGCATGAGTCCGGCTGAAGACCTAGAGCCCATCACAATGCCTCCCACGAGTCCAGCTGAAGGCCTAGAGCTCACAACAGTGTCTTCTGCAATCCTGTTTTATGGATCTGTGCTGGGAAGGCCTAAAGGTTGGTGGTGGAAGATAGAAAATCTGCATCAGTGGGATGAAGGATGTGTGCCAGCAGGCTGAGGAATATGCATGGAGCCAGGAAGCGATGCTCAAAATAAGAGCCAGAGCTCCCCCAAAAGTACCATAGCCATCCTCAACAACAGTGAGGTTTGAGAACAGTCAAGCTCCTATCAGGAAAGCCGGCATGGCAAGTTTCTCCAAGAGAATCAACAGCCCCTAAGCTCCTTTTCATGCTGTTGGCAACAATCATCAGGTGGGCCTCCTACACCAAGCACCACGTTGGTTCAATTCAGCTGGGTGTTACAAGCTGACCACCAGTTGTCAATCCATCACACATACAGACACCTAATTCTGCGGCTTGAATTAATTTAATGCATTTTGGAGTTACTTCTGTATATGCACATTTAGACCTCTTTTTAAAGCCTAACATACCATTGTATTAACATGCTATAATATACTTAAGTTCCTCTGCTGTATATATAGTGCTTTTTCTTACCACAGCAAAACATCTTTGTAAGCAAATCTTTGGGTACTGGCACAAAAATAATTGTTGGATAATTTCCTCCCAGTGAATATGCTAAATTGAAGCACTTAAATTTCCCAAAAAGTTATACAAATGACATTCTCTCTAATTACATTTCCTCACATCTTGGTCAACATTTGCTATGAACCAACTCCAAAAATTAATTGACTTGATAAAATGACATGTCATTGTTCTTATCTGGGTCTCTAATTATGAATAGGGGGCTAGGCCTGATTTTTACACGTGCAAGTTTTTAAGTTAAGACTCTGTGAGCCGGATCCTAGTTCTTGAAATGTGTTACCTCGAGCCGGTGGAATCTCTTTTCAAAAATGGGAACAATGACAGTGCCAACCTTTAGGATTAGAGGAGGTATGGAGGACCACAGGGAACCCCCCCTCTTCCATCGCTTTTGGCAAAATTTGCCCTAATATTTTGGAGCTATGTTCGCTTTATCTGAGGTGTCCTCTTTTCAGTCAAATTTTGCAGAGCTCTCTTGTTCATAATCGGACAGGAGAAGAAAATTGGCTCTGCTTTTTAAAAATTTTACCCTCCAATCTCTCCTTACACCTAGAATATTAGTTTATCTATCAATTGTAGAGGAATGAATTGCAGTTTTAAACGGCAGTCAGAATACGCTGTTTAGGGAATAGAGACCATGAGATAACAAGCGTCTGGCCCCATCTATCAAACGTCTCACCACCCACATCCCCAGTATGTTACAGAGACGGCGCTCAAAGCATTAAAAGTCAGCATTTAAAACAGAAGTCCAGACCCAACCCCCAAAACGCAAACCCTAGGACTCTCCCCCATGGCCACGCCTCTACCGGAAGTGACGCGCCACGCCGACTATTTCTTCTTCCGGCGACTGCCGGTGGCGCGACCCAGGCCTGCGCGAGGTGTTCGTCGGCGTTGCGGCCAGCAGAGGGATTCTGGGTAACGGCCCCGGCCGGCTGGAGCGGCTGGCTTCGTGCCGCGGGTTTTGTTCACTTCAAGTCCTTAGGCAGTGGCGTTTGTAGGGCGAGGGCCAGCGGGACATGGAGCAGCCGTGGCCGCCGCCGGGACCCTGGGGCCTCCCCCGAGTGGAGGGTGAGGCTGAGGAAGAGAGTGACCTGGACGTGTCCCCCGCCTCTCCCCGCTGCCCGCCGCCGCCGGGCGGTGACGCGCAGGTGAGACGGGCTCGCGTTCCGCCGGAGGGCGCTGCTGCCCGAGCCCCCGAGGCCCGCGTCTCCCGGCCGCCCCTCTGCCCGCCCGGCGCCCCGCTCAGCCCCGTGACCCGAGGCCTGACGCCACCCCGCCTCTTGCACAGGTTCGGGGCGGAGGGAAGGTGGCCTGTGTCCGACCGCAGCCTCCGCACACGCTGTTTCTTCCGCCTCGGGTGATGCTTTCGCGTGCTCGGCGGACGTTCCCGCAGCGCTCGGGTGCGGGCGGCTCTCGCGGGGTAACGCTGACCCTTTGTCCTCTTGTGCGTTTCTGTTACGGCGGCGACGCACTCGTGCGCAGCTCCTGGGAGCTGGCAGCGGCTGTGCCGTAGCGTTGCCCCGCACCCTGCGCGTCCTGGCTGCGGAGCAGTCCGTGCGCTTGGCCCTCGGCGCTGGCGTACACCTCCGTCTTGCCCTTACTGGTTTGTTTCCAGTTTTGCTCCGTGTCATTAAGGCACACGCTTGCGATTTTTTTCGTATTTCTCCCTCGGGGTCCTGATGCTACCTGTGGTTTTCAGCCAAGCTTTCCTGCCTCTGAAACTTAGCAAAATGTGATAGATTACTTGGGATTTTTCTCCTAGAGGGTGCTTAGGTACTCACATCCCATTATCCTGATTTCTTTTTTCTTTTAACCCTAACTTGAGAGTGTTGTGGATTATACTTTAGGATCGCAGACGAGGTGTCTGCCCGTGAGGCTTTTGTGTAAAATGGGGCCTAATAAAAATGTAACAATTAATAGAAGGTTTTCTCTCAAAACTCATCTTTGCTAGATGTTAATGAAGGTGAGCGTTTTAAGTTGGTTGCCAGTTTATGTCCAGCTAGCGGAGTTAGCTGGGTTTACAGAGGAAAAAAAAATGCTATTTCATAACCAGATTGTACCTCAGCCAGCCAGTCACTAGAAAAGAGAGGCAGAATAGGAGTTGATGGGTCAGTAGTCACCCACTAATTATGGATTGCTAGTGTCATCTTTATATAAAAAATACGAATATCTACTGCGTTACAAAGAAAGTATGAATAGCAGTTGCTACTGTCAAATTTGAAGGATATGGGAAAAGAACAGATCTCAAATTTCTGTGCATTGTGATTGAATCACAAAAGTAAGCTAGGAGAAACTCAAACTTAAAAATGTCAGTATATTAATTTTTTACTTGTGCACTCATAAAGTTGTTTGAGTGAAAGGAACTTTTGAAGTGAATAGCCTCATCTCCATAATTAAAAAGTAATTTTCCCGAGGCCATGTAGCATTTTCAGTGACAGGATCAAAACCAGAATTTACATCAGCTAGAACAGTATTTTTTTTTTTTCCCACCTACTGCCCTGTCCATTCTGTAAAATGCTGTAAAACTTTATTTGGCTGAAACTACCTTTAAATGGTGTTAAAATTTGAAAAATAATTACTAATTCTAAATTCATGAGCTTATTGCAAACTTATTTGCCTTGCTGGCTTCAGGACTTACATTTTTGGGTTGAAATCTTAGGAAAGAGTAAAATATTTAATCTCATCAGTTGGCGTTTAAACCCAGGGGCTTTCACCCTGAACTACATTTCCAGCCTTATCTAAAAAAAAAAAAAAAAAAAGTTTATTTTGAAGCAGGCCTTGTTATATTGCTCAGGTTAGGTTGGAACTTGCAGTCCTCCTGCCTGAGCCTCTCAGAGTGCTGGGGTTATAGGCATGTGCCTCCACACTCAGCTAAAAAATACTTTTTCTTTTTTTAAATTTAAGCTTTGTTTTAATTTTTACCAAGTATGAGAGAATCTAAACATTGTAACATAGTGATTGTTGGTTCTGAGCTCCAACTGATGTCAAGACAGGTTGTTATTTGATGTAAAGTTACATTTGTAGATTTTAATGCTAACAGTTCCTTTTCAGAATTTATGTCATTAATATATAATTATGCCCCTCTAAAACTTTGATGTGTTCATAAATTAAAATAAAACCTCATATTTTTTTAATCAACTGAAAATACATTGGATAGTTTACCCAGGTGGTGTTTGGGTAGTCTGTGGAAAAGAATTTAAATATAATAAATCGTTAGGATTGTTTTGGGAGGTATTTGTTCCCACATAATTTTAAAATATATGATATTCCACTTTGCCGTACTGCCTTTTTGGTATAGCTCTGTCTTATAAATTAACAGCTTCATTTTTCTATTTTTCCTGGCCCAGTTTTTAAACATGGTCAGTCTACAGTTTCTCTATTCTAAGATAGTAGAAAGTAAAAAGAAATGTTTTACTTGGTTATTTAGGAACATACAGTTAACTAGGCTCTGAACCTAATGATTGAGTAAATAAAGTATCAGATGGCAGCAGTGTCCAGATTGCCCCAATAGAAACTTCGAATTTGCCTGAAAATGTGGCCAAGACATAGGGGCCTTGTTTGCTACTTGCCTCACAATTCTTTACCACAACCATTCTGTTGAGGAAGTAGAGATTTATTCGTGGAACATTTATTGAATTCTAGCCCTTCAAGAATTTGATAGTCAGCTGGGTATAATGGCCATTTAGTAATTTAGGGAGACCCTACCTCAAAATAAAAAACAAAAGAGGCAAGAAGTGTAGTTCATTGAGCAGGCTCTGGGTTCAATCTCCAATACCACAAAGAAAAAAAAAAGCTGATAAGAAAACAAGTAAAGAGCTGGGGATATAGCTCAGTGGCACAGTGCCTGCCTGGCAAGTGTGAGGTCGTGAGTTTGATTCCTGGTACCAAAAAAAGGAGAAAACAAATAAGTACCACAGTATGCAATATTATGTGAAAACCTCCACTGTAGAAGTATGCATTACGTGGCTGAGGAGAAAATGGATAAGAAAAAGCTTACGGGATGCCAGAATCTGGAACAGAGATAGGAGTTACCTAGAGACAACATTGACAAATTGAAATATAGTGAAGGAAGATGACTAAATGCCAATCACTGTGATAGTCGCCAGGCTTTGTATTGTTATTAGTTGTTCGGGGAAGAATGTAGATTATCAAAGAAGCTTTAGGTGTCCTTGATGAAATAAAGTTATAAAAATGTAACTGTAGACAGAAAAACAGGATATACACTGTGTACCAAAAATGTACACAGATTCTTCATATAAAAATAAAAGTTGGTCCCAGCACTCTGGGAGGCTGAGGCAGGTGGGTAATAAGTCCCAGCCCAGCCTGCGCAATTTAGCAAGACCCTGGAGGGACTGGAGATGTAGTTTAGTTCAAAGGTCCTAAGTCAGTCCCCAGTACTGAAAAAAGAAACTGATCTGTGCTACAAAAACATATTTGTTGCCTTCTTCATTTCTTAATGAGTATTGTTTTTTCATCCAGATGTATAGCCATGAAATTGAGCTGGCTTGCCAAAAGCAGACAGAGTTTGTGAAGAGCTCTGTGGCATGCAAATGGAATCTTGCTGAGGCTCAACAGAAACTTGGTAGTTTAGCACTGCATAACTCTGAGTCCTTGGATCAGGAATATGCCAAAGCACAAACAGCAGTGTCGGAACTGAGGCAGCGGGAAGAAGAATGGCGACAGAAGGAAGAAGCTCTAGTACAAAGAGAGAGGATGTGTCTCTGGAATGTGGATGTCATTAGCAAGGATGTTTTTAATAAGGTATGATCTTTTATTGGGCCATATAAAAAGAAGAAAAGATACGTATCTGTACATATTTGATGGCAAAGCAGCAGAGTCCTATACATAGTATTCAATTTTGACAGTTTATAAAAAGTGCTTGTTGTAGAAAACTATCCTCGGTAAGGTCTCATTTGGGTGGTTCTTAGTGCAAATATATGGCTGCAGCATAGAATGTGGCACACTGCAGTGTGGATTCAAGGCACATCTCAGCTCTGTCACATGATGGCTTGGTGACCTTGGTCAAGTCAGTTAGCATCTCTGAGCCTTGGTGTCTTCAACTGTGTAGGGTAGGTGTGAAGATTAAATAAGATAATGTCTTAAAAATGTGTTAGCATGGAGCCTGCTACATGGTGAAGCTCAGATGTTGTGAGACATTTCTGATGTTGCAATGGTATCATCTTGCTATCAGTTTTGTAACATGCATGTGTAATTATGAGATTTATTAAATAAAAGTCTTTATCGTATGGATTTGCTAAACCACGACAATACTCTAGATGTAATGTTATAAGCATTGGAGATGAAAGGAATTTCTAGAAATAATTTAGATTCTCCTGCTCTTAAATAGTATAGTACTTTTGCTAAATTAGTAATTTTTTTTAAAATAATATTTTGTTTCACAAGAGCATATAAGTTGTATTATGTTTGCATCTGAAGAAATGGGTTTAAAATGTATAGTAAAGTCAGTATTTATTGCTTAAAGGGTACAAAGGGGATAGAAGAACTGCTCTTCACAATCCGGAGTCATAGCAGTTTTAAGTTGGGAAAACAATTTGGTGCATTCCAAGCAGCATTTTTATTTCTTAGCTAGGATACAGTACAAAAGATCAGCATGTATTCTATGTAGAGAGGTCAGCATTGTGTGGTAAAAGGCTTGTTTTACATATGTATGTGTGTGTTAGGCCACAATATACAGTGTGTTTCTTAAAGTATAACCAAAAAGTTTGAAAGTTGATAACCTAAAGCTCCAGACTAAGGGCAGTTGTTGTTGTTGTTTTGCACTGTTGTAGATTAAACCAGGGCCTTGTGCATGTTAGGCAAGCCCTCTACCCTTGAGCTACACTTGCAGCCCTCACAGATAGTTTTAATTTAACCGGTCTCAAATATTTGTTTTATACATATGTACTGCTGAACAGACATATAAAAAAGCATTCACAAAATGCTTCTAAGGATTGAGAACTTTATGAGGATGAGAAAATACCTAAATCAAAGTTACAAAATCTTTTTTCCCACATCTCATATTTTGTACCCCATGCTTTGGTGGTCACTGTTTCAGAGTTTCGTGTATTCAGCCACCTTATTTTATAAATGAAACAACTGACAAGTAGAATGACTTGATAACATAGTGACAGATTAAATCTGATTCCTTTATCATATTTAGAATCAAAGTATCCCTTAAAGTGTTTAAAAGAAACTGTAGAGACTTTAAATGTTTTACATTTCCTTTTAAAAGGATGATATGTAAATGTTTTACATATCCTTTTAAAAGGATAGCAAAACTCAAGATCATGTACAAGCTTAAGTGTTTTTAAAAGGTCAAAAAAATGAAAAGGAAAATAATGGCCTACCACAGAACTGTTGTATATGATAATAAATGTCTTCAGTGGGTACAGATTATAGTAAAAAATGTACTAATTGGACTGATTCTTGGTCAGCAGTTCTCAACTGCTCAGCTGCTTGATTAGTATAATGTAGTTATGAAGTTGCTTGACTTTTTGTTCTCTACAGTTTCTTTGAAAACACTGCACTTTTAGACAAACTTACAGAGCACACATTACTCACGAATTAGTCATCATATAAGAGACGTTCACTAGAGGCAGTAAATATATCCTATAGTTAACCATATTTACCAACTAAGGAATAAAAACTAAAATTTCTAAGCTTTTATTGCATGTTAATAAACAAGACTTTGTAAAACATTTAAAGTCAATGTAAAACATTTAAAAATACTAAATTCCTATAACTAGATTCAGTATGAAGAAGGGATGTTGAGCACAGGCACAGAGCAATCTGCACCAGCAGTCTAGTGTTCTGAAATCCAACAAGAGTGAAAATTGAAAAGATGGCACAGTTAAGGACAAAGACTGAGAGGAAGGTAAACAGAAGGGGGAAAAGGATAGGTAGGGATAGGTATCACAAAGATACGGACCATACTGACAGAGCTAAAAACAACAGGTAAAATTTGCAGGCTGCTTCAGAATAACATTTAAATAACTTAAATGCTGTACCTTTTTTAACTCTGAACTAAGAAGTTCCTGGCTGAGATTGAAAGACTAGGTAAAGTAAAGAAAGGTATGAATACCGGGCATGGAGGCACACACCTGTAATCCCAGCACTCCAGAGGCTGAGGGAAGAGGATGGCCATGAGTTCCAGGCCAGCATAGGCTAGGTAAGTGAGTGCAAGGCCAACCTGAAAGACATAGCGAGACCCCCCTCAGAAAAAAACAAATGAGAAGAAAGGTATGAATGAGAAGAAAGGTATGAAGTCCTCTATTAAGACTCCTTTAATAATGTAAATGATGGGGCTGGGGATTTAGCTCAGCGGCAAAAGTGCCTGCCTGGCATGCACAAGGTCGTGAGTTCGGTTCCCGGTACCAGAGAAAAACCAAAAAAAAAAAAAAAAAATAATGTAAATGATGTCTATAGAATGATGTCCATTTTTAATGGGGATAATAGATGTTAATAATGCACATCATTGGCCTGGCTGAGCTTTTAAAATTACCTGTTTCTCAAACTACTCAAGGTTTAGACCTTTGTTTTCCATTTGAAAACAGTTTCTAGAGATTGATTCTGAAATGCATATAAAAGGGAGAAAAATGAAACCTAATAAATTTATGAGCTAGTGTTTTTAGTATAGAATAAAATGATTGTATATTGAAGAATAGTAACTACATTAATCCTTATATTAGAGAAACAGTTACAACTAAGTGTGAACATACTGATGGGTACACATATTTTCAAAATTTTTTTCCACTTTGTCAAAATGTCTAAGAAACAATTCTCGGAGTGGATTTTGTATATTAGTTACTATTAGTGTTCCCAGGTCAGGGGTGATGGTACTATATTTATACAGAGAAAGATAGGCCTTCAGATGTTAATATTTTCCTTAATTAACTGTGGACATACCGTATAGAATGAATTTGGACCTTTTTTTAGTCTTTTTAATATAGAAAGTTTCAGTATACATCAAGTAAACAAATGAGTCTCATGTAGTACAGGCTGTCATCCTTCTGCCATTTTCATTCCTCTATACTTTTCCTATTCCCAATTCTTGCTTGCTTTTAAATTTTTAGCTAACATTTTGAGATGTGCAAATCTTACATATAAAATCTAACAGATACACTTGCATAATATTCGCTCAAGGTAATGTAATTTGAGATTAAAAAATAAAGTATTTAAGTCTTCGGTTTGTAGCCTCTTGGAACAATAAAATCCAGTCATTTTCTACAAATTTGTAAAGGTATACTTCCTTTTGTTGTACCAAACATAACCCTCAGATTTGGGGGATAAACTACTCATTCTTGTCTAAGTCCACATTCACTTTATCATTAACTGTTATTATCCAGACTTTTCATCCTATGACCTACTTGTTTCTGCCCTCCTAGCATCCACTCTCACCTATTTGAGAACTCTGGCCCATCTGTGGTTCTGTTGTAGGAGTCAGTAACACATAAGGGGCATGTTTATCACCCCTAGCCCTATTAGTACCTTCTTTTTTGAGAAAAAAATTTTAATAGTGTAACATGCTTGTTTTAAAATAAATAAGTAACATAGAAATTGGAAGGGTCCCTTTACCTTTAGTTTCATTTCCCAGAAATAACCTTTAACAGTATCTCCCTAGACTTTCTCTATACCTGTACTAATTGATATGAATTTTTGTCCCCCACAACAGGATCATTCCTTATCTAATTCTGTGTGTATGTGTTGTTCTCAGTCTGTCTGAAGTGTTACTTTAGTTCTACTTTGCATTTAGACTCCAAAATTAATCAAAATAATTTCTCCTTCCAAGAGGAAATGGTCAAAGCAATGTTTATTTTGTAAAGTTAATGTCTATTAACACAGTGATCACAAAGAAAATGTTTTCATTTTGTTCTTGCGTTTGTTTCTTTAAACTTAATTTCTAACGTAGCCTACAAATTAATTAGGACCATCTTTATATTCCAAACATTTCCTCAGAATTCTACATTGGTTTTGTCTGGGAGTTTGAGACTTGTGAGAACTGGTCTAGATCTGTGAGGTCCAACTCCAGGGCCACTGGACACATGTGCTATAAAATGTGGCTAGTCCAAATTAAGATGTGCTGTAAGTGAAAATACACACCATATTTCAATGCCTCAGTACTATAAAATTAAAATACTGTATTGTTTTTGTGTGGGTTGATTTCATGTTGAAATGATATGTTGGATATGTTACATTTAACATAGATTATTAACTTCATCTCTCTCTGGGTTTTGTAACATGGCTAAACAGAATACTTTCGTTTGTGACTTGATTTGTGTTTCTGTTATACATTGCTTTTTTTTAAAATTTATTTTAAAAATAAAAGAAGGAAAACATTAACAAACAGACATCCCTTTACAAAATAGCATAAGAACAATACAAGCAATATTGAATTACAGACAAAGTGGTAGGAAATTAACAATGGTTGTTGTATTATGTATTGATATCTTCAAAGTGGTTTCTCAGGAAAACAAATAGAGATATGCAAGATTGATCAAATAAGTAATCATTATCTGTTTCTTTCAGTAAAGCAATAGAAGTCAGTAGTACAGTATATTAACTATCCTGTATATACATACATACATAATTTCCCCCTTTCTTTTCTTTTCCCTCATTGCAGTTGCTCTTTACTTTTGAGCAGTTTCCTTTCATTTCACAATGTCTATCATACCTAATTTTTATTCACTCTTTCAGATTCTTGCACTAGTGAGACAATACATTGCTTACACGAGGTCTGGTTGGTTTCACTTATGAGTATGGTCTCTAGTTGTGACTTATTTACCTGTAAAAGCCTCGAGTTTATCTTTCTTTAGAGCTGAGTAATACTCCATTATATAAAAGTACCATAATTTTTTTATCCATTCCTCAGTGGGTGGACATTTGGGTTGCTTCCATGATTTAGCAGTTACAAATTGTGCTGCTGTAAACATGGGTGCGCATGTATCGCTGTGATACGATGTTTTCAGATCTTCTGGGAAAATGCCCAGAAGGGGAATAGCTGAGTTGAATGAGACCTCTAGACCTCGTTTGCTGAGGAATCTCCAAACTGATTTCCACAGTGGTTTCACCAGTCTGCATTCCCACCAGCAGTGGAGAAGGGTTCCTATTTCTCCACAGCCTCACCAGCATTTGTTATTGGTTGATTTGATAATGCTAACCATTCTTACTGGGGTGAGATGAAATTTCAGTGTTGTTTTAATTTGCATTTCTTGAATGACTAATGATGTTGAACATTTTCTCATGTGTTTATTTGCCATTTGTAGTTATCTGAGAAGTGTGTATTCATCTTAGCTGCCCATTTTTGGATTGGGTCTTTGAATTTGGGGGGGGCTTATGTTTTTTAATTCTTTATATGTTTTAGATAGAAGACTTTCGTCCGAGGGACAGTCAGCTAAAATTTTTTCCAAGTTTGTGGGTTTTCTTTTTACTCTGCTGGTGTTTTCTTTAGATGTGCAGAAACTTTTCAGGAGGATGAGATCCCAGTTGTTGATTCTTCGAAGTATTTCGGGTGTGGTTTGGTTTTTGTTCATGAACTGTCTGCCTACCCGTATGTCTTCAAGATTTTTACCTACTTTCTTGTCCAGTAGATTTAGTGTTTCTGTTTTAGTATTGAGATCTGTGATCCATTTTGACTTGAGTTTGGTGCACAGTGATAGACTTCTATCTAGAACATACAAAGAATTAAAAAACATAAGCCCCCCAAAATTCAAAGACCCAATCCAAAAATGGGTCTATTTTCAGTCTTTGGCAGGTGGCAAGCCAATTTTTCCAGCACCATTTATTAAAGAGGCTATCTTTCTTACAGTGAGTTTATTTGGCTCTTTTGTCAAAGATTAGGTGGCTGAGTGTGTTTGTGGTTGTGGCTGTTTCTTCCTGTCTGCTCCATTGATCCTCTGGTCTGTTTTTCTAAATGCAGAATATATGTAAAGGAAAAAACACTTTTATTTTGAAATGTGTGAACTTTTGTTGCTTCCTGATTGTAAATGGCAGAGAGCTGGTTTATACTTTTCATTTTGGCATTGATGATAGCAGGGTATAAGCTGATCACAGAATGTTCTAAGGAGTTGTTTATCTTGCCAGTTAGGCTAGATAAAAACTTCATTGTTAGTCTGTTTTATGACTTGTTTAACTGAAAATAAGCAGTTTTTTAATAGAAATTTGTACTCGATTTCAGGAATCAAACTGTTTAGCCTCTCTTGAGAAAAAATAATTAGAAATGCAACCCAGGTCTTATTTTGGTTTATCTCTTCTGAAAGAATTTATAGTGGTATACTTTACTCTTTATATGTTTTGAATTTTTGAATTTATTTCCAGGAAGAGATCTAAAAATTTGACTAGCATTGCAAATACTTATAGAAATTGAAGGGGCTGGGGATTTAGCTCAGCGGCAAAGTGCCTGCCTGGCAAGCGCAAGGTCGTGAGCTCCGTTCCCGGTACCGGAGAAAACCAAAAAAAAAAAAAAAAAAAAAAAAAAAAAAATTGAATAATGCAGTTATAAAGTATGCATGCAAAGAGTCTCTATATAATAAGACAAATCTAAAATCTTCAACATATATCATGTTTTAGTCAAAGCTAGTGAACTCCTAAATGAAAAAAATTCCAATTTTTTAAATGAAAGGTTTAACAGTGATGTAATATAATAATACTAGACCACATTTAGGTTGCCTCTAGGCAGAACTGATAGGCATTCAGTATCTGAGAAAGAAAATTCAAATAGAGTACAAAGTCTTATTTTAATTTCTAAAATTTTCAGAGTTTTATTAATCAAGATAAAAGAAAAGAAACAGAAGATGAAGATAAATCAGAATCATTCATGCAGAAACATGAGCAAAAAATCAGACATTTTGGTGAGTCTGCTACTTGAATTTCCTTCTTTGTAATGTTTGGTATCATGTGTATTGGTCCAAAAAATGGAATCGTAAATTGGGAGTCCAAAGAAGGTACATGACAAACTCCAGGTGTGTTGTTACTACTGATAGAGTTGTATAGATCTTGTATTAGACCTGTTTTGGGTAATAAGAAAATAGATTGAAAGAGAAGCAAAATTTAATCTGTTAATACTAACCCTCTAAGACAGTCTTCCTACTTCTCAACCCCTCTTTGCTTTTTTTCTTTCAGTTCTTTGCTTTCTTGATACCTGCTATTTTGTGGTTAAGAGATTAGCTGCTTTTATTTTTTTTAAGGTTTTGGATATGATGCATGTAATATGAGCAGGGCCTTGAACTATATTACTCTGTAAATTTAGTAATAGAAGTATATATGAAAAGAACTGAGAAATTATTTTCTCTTGGGGGAGGAGCACGAAAGCCTTCTGAGACAAGGTAATACCTTATTTCTGTGAGGAAAAGGTAGGTATTTTCCATGTAGATAAGGCAGTGGCCATAGTATGAAGACATGTAAAGTTAGGGAACAGTATGGTGTTCTGAGAATTATAAGCAGTCTGAGACTGCTCAAGTGAAAATGGTTCTGGGAAATGCTAGGAGTTCAGGTTTAAAGCATATTTTTTGGATCCCAAGTAATAGGTTAACTTGGTAAGTGTGTTTATTTGAAACAGGGTCTTGCTATGTAGTTCTGGCCAGCTTTGAATTCATTTTGTAGCCCAGGTTGTCCTCAAACTTGGTAAGGATCCTCCTGCCTCAGCCTTCTGAGTGCTGGGATTACAGGCATGCACCACTACACCTGTCTTTATGGTTTTTATTTGTACTGTGTTCATGAACATTTTAAATGGCATTTGAAATCTTTTTCTATTGACTTTTCCTTCCAAAACATAAAATTTCAGTTGTGCTTGTATTTTCTAAAGACAATGGGTAGTACTTCCAATTTTTTCCCCTTTGTGCAACTTCTCTAACATTCATATTTTCCTACTTATTTTTAAAAAGACAACTATCTATTTAATTCCAGGATAGTATCTGAAGAAATAAACATAGACAAACTTTACATTCCTATAGACTATCATTGTGGTATTCTTTATAATTAGAAAAAACAAGTAGTCCTCCTTTCAAGAGATACTAAAGTTTTTTTAAAAAACAGAAGTTTGATCAAAGATAAAAGGCAGTAATTTTGCAGGTGGGTTTTAGTTGTGTTATATGAGTTGCCGTCCCCACTTACAGCTCTTACTTTCTAGGTTCATGTGTTCCGCTGTAGGAAAATACATGTATGTTTACTGGTTGTTCTTTCAGAGCACATGATGCATGTGGTAGAATGGCATCCCTCAAGGTGATTTTTTTCTCAGCTGGCATTTTCTTGGCAAGTTGCTTTGGACTCAGGGAAGTTAGATGAGAAACATCCTCAGTTTTGTTGTGAACTGAGTTCTTTGGTCAAAAGCAGTTCTATGGGGGGAAATATTCTAACCTCATAAGATGTTGTAATGTACCTGTACTCTTTAATAAACTTTTCACCATTCTGTAAAACCTGCTATTTCTGAGTAGTAATGTTTGTAAGACCAGTGAATTTCATGAGCCTATAGTCTTCATTTCTTTTGCTGAAAAATGAGATAAAAAATAATGAGGTTTGGTGAGTAATTCATTAAGACCACTGATATACTACTGCTATAAACATAGTAAGGAAAGAGGGCAATTCCAGATACAGAATGGGCTTGTTCAAATAAGGAATTATTGATCCCTTCAAGATGAAATGGGACCAAGATATTCAACTGCTTCTCAGTGGTTGGATCTCCAGTGTATGGTGCCATATTGAGGTTTTGGCATTGGTTTCTGCTATTCGTTGGCCTTATTGGATTGTGATACTAAAATATTTTTCATGAGGGTAGTTCATTCTATTGAATCTGTGCATAATCTCAAGCCTGTGCCACCATGGCCCTTTCGTTTATGAAACTATTGTGGATTTAATGGGGTAGCTGAGGGAAAGGCTGACTTGATGTCCATAGGTGATAATAAGCAATTGTTTTGCCCTTGCATATTGTGATCTTCCAGTACTTCATCTTGTAATACTAACCAGAGCCTTGCTGTGTTCAAACCCAACCAGACTTGATAGCCACTCCCAGATTCACATTGTGCCTGTTTCTTAGTGGAAATGCACATTGACTTTCCACTTTGGAGGAGATATCCTACTTGCTGCAGCACATTGGATCCACAGAAATGTTACTAAGGTAGTAGGCTCCCAAAATTTTCATGTGTTTTATTTTCCATTCTCTGGCATGCTGTATCTTAACCAAGGCATCTGGGGTACTTGCCACTTCTTGTTCACCATGTTCTATCAGCAGAGTGGGTCAACTTACAGTCATGTGGGATGATGAGATCATCAAAATCTCCCATTGACTAAGTTATGGCAGAGTGGATAGAGGACTGAGGCAAGTCAGTGAAAGTGAATGCTTTTGGTGGTGTATACTTACTGTAGTAAAGGAAAATAGTATTTGCCCTGATGGTGACTATGATACACTCCTTTAAACACCTCTGGAATAACAGCTTTAATTAAATTTCCAAATGAAGATTTTCCAAACTTGGATTGGATGTCAAACTGTTGAAAGATAGGTAGAGTATGTGGGTCTGAGTGGGGTTATAGGGGCTTTCCTGTGGTCTTACACGTACTTATATTCCTTAGGGTTCTTCCTAACTTTCCCTTATCCTGTTTGTTGACTACCTTTCTTGTGTTGTTTTTACTCTTGTAATTAGATGGAGTTTACTTTCTAATGGTAAATGGTACAGTTGTTATGGTAAAGTACTATGAAGCATTGAAATCTAAGTTTTTCCTGCATTTGCATTTAATTTATTAATTTAGTTGATTCACATTTTATAAATATAAAATACTAATTTAGATACACAGTCTGCTTTCACCTAAAGTTCACAAAACAGTTCTATATGGTTATTTGCATCCGTAACATCACTTTGTGATCGTTGGAGATGCTTTGTCGGTCATCTTTTGCTTCACAGCACATCATTGTCCCTTATAGCCATAGTTAGCTGTGATTCAGCATTTTTGAATCTGTGTGTAGTGTGTTGTCACTGGAAATTTTATCAAAAGCTATAAGCATTTGCATAAAAACTATTGATACAATCGTTTTCATTATACTGAAGATGAATATTTATAACCTTCTTTTAATGTGTATTGGTTTAAAAAATCATAATAGCCTATATTTGAAAAAGCATTCAATTATAAAGTACTACTGAATAGAATATGAACTGAATTGAACTTTAAAAGTATGATATTTTACTTTTATTTATTTACACATAATTTAAAAATAAGCCGGGAAGGAGATACATATTGCTAATAATTATCTCTTAAAGTAGAATTGCAGGTGATTTTCATTTTTTGAACTTTTTAAAATTGTTCATTATAAATATACTTCATTTTTATAATCTGAAAATATTAAGAATTCTAAAAACTCTTGGAGTTCACGTTAAAAAGTTTATTACTGTGACTTCATCATATTTACAGATTCTTGTAACATAAGCACTGAACTTGGTGATCAGTTTGATGTCAAAAGAATTTCTAGAATGCTTGATTGGGCAACACAGAAGCCAGGAAGCATGCAGAATGGAGAGAAAATGGGTTTGATTTTCAAACAAGATAAGTTTAGGCATACAGGTAGAAATAGTTGTCTAGTGGTAGTAATTAGGTTGGAAACAGAAAATATGGGGCTCAGGAAATATTTTTAAAAACGTCATACATCTTTCCTCAAGGAATTTACAAACCTACTCAGGAGAATTTTAGCATATAGAGAAATTAAGATGAATAATGTAGCTTAAGGTGTTAAAATGTATCATTCTGTAGGTATAATGCAGAAAGGTAATCACACACACACACCAATTTAGGAGTCAAATGCGGAAATTTTTGTTTTGTTTTATTTTTTGAGACAGGGCCTCACTTTGTAGTTCAGGTTGGCCTTGAACTATATATCCCAGGTGGGCCTTGGAACTTATAGTGGTCCTCCTGCCTCAGCCTCCTGAGTACTGGGATTACAAGTGTGCAACACCATGCCCAGCTCTCAAGTGCAGAATATTGAGAGTTGATAGATGAATGGAGATTTAGATGTTCACCAAGGAAATAAATGGATTAAAATATAATTAAAATATTTTAATTTGTCAAAGCAAAGTATTTCAAGCTTTCAAAGAAAATGGTTAGCAAGTTTAAACTGCACTATCCTTACCCAAAGGATTAGCTTAATGAATACTTGTTAAATGAGTAAATTATTCTCTATTAATACTACTTGTTAAGTGTTTACTATGTGTCAGGCACTGTTCTAAGTGCTTTATATGAATTGGTATCATTTAATCATCACAAACATTTTGTATTAGGCAGTATTTTTAGCCCTCTTGTATACCTCAGGAAATGTAGGCATATAAAGGGACTTGTCTAAGGGAATAAATGGTGAAGCTAATATTCACACCTGTGCATTTTAGCTCTGTAGTCTGTTTTCCTAGCCATTGTCATTGCTCTCCTTTTTTGTATACAAATTCCAAACAAACGTCAGTAATTTCAGGTATTTTTTATTCCACTAACCTGTGGATCCTTTTAAGTATTTTTGTCATCGTATACCCTTTCCACAAAGGTGTATAAGGATTATGTGTAACTTTTCAGTTTCATACTAATTCAGTGTCTTATTTTTTAAATCAAGTGATAACAGATATTTCTTAGGTACAAAATATCTGTGTTCAATCTCAAGTGTGAATATTATCTCTGCTATTACATAGGTAATTAAAAATCTTTAATATGTAATGACTTCTTCCTCGTGGTCCCTGCAAGCGTTACTAACCCTTCTGTATCATCTTTTGTGCTAAAGAACCAAAATAGATAGGATTTTAGTAATCAGTGCGTCCTAGTGCAGCCACGGAGAAGCTGAAGAAGCAATGCACTGTAGAGGTAGAGCTGGAAATACTACCTCTTCAGAAGTGCAAGAGAACTAAGGCAAAGCTGCTTCCTAGGATTTATTTTGTGGCTTCTGGTATAAGAAATGATTATGTTTCCATTAGCTTAGCTCTTACTTTAAGGACTCCATAGTAGTTTTAAGCAACTTAATCATTCGTTTCTCAGAATCTTAAATAACCTAATCGTTGCATGAAAATGCTGAGGAAATACCTTCATTGCATCAAAATGCTGGGGAAAAAAATTTATGAAACTTAATATGTGTTATAAGAAAATGGTAAAACCTTTCATGCCTTTTTTGTAAGGAAGGACAAGTTGATCATGCATTTTCAACCAATTGTCCTGTGTTGCCACCTGTATATTCTCAGTAAGCATTTGTCTTCAGTTTTATTTCTGTGTTCTGATGTGGAATTTAATACAGATAGAGAAGTATTTTGGTTCTAGAGGAAGGAGTTACTGCTAAGTTACTGAAAAAGACGTATGGACATTTCTTTGTAACACCCAAACTTCCTTGGGTAAATCTAAAGATTCTAAAGCTGCCAATGTAGTTTATCCAATATAAAGCTGACTGGACAAGGTTAAAGGTGCAAACGTTGCCCATGTGGTGCTGCATATCTGTAGTCTCAGCCACTCAGGAGGCCGAAGGATCATTTGAACTCATGAATTCAAGATAGGCCTGGGCAACATAAAAAGAGATAATTTTTAAAATGCAGCACTTTCACAGTTCCATGATTAGTTGGTCATACTGACTTTAACCAGATTTCTTACTAATTTTAAGACAGAGGTATACCTTAAGTAGTATTTGGATTTGTTTGACATCTTGAAACAAAATGTCAGCATTTTCCAGTATGCTTAACTAAGATTTTAAAATGTTGTTTACTATGCATATTAACAGCAACAAATAAATGTCCAGCATTACTAAAATGATTCCAAGTATATTTACTTTCATAATACTGACTTAATTTTCCAGAATTGGTGTCAACATTTTCCCATATCTGAAAGAAAACTTTCTGTGAATTTTGGAAGCTATTTTCAGACTATTGGATATTGCTTTAAAGAGCATTATCCCTCTTCGTTTGCCCTTTACCATAATATATTGTTGTAATAATATGAGTTATCTTTAAAGAGTCATTTTTAAGATGCCATTTCTTCCCTCACAGGAAGACAGAAAATATTTAACATTTATGATTTCTTTTTTTACAGGTATGTTGAGTCGATGGGATGACAGTCAGAGATTTTTGTCTGACCATCCATACCTTGTATGTGAAGAAACTGCTAAATATCTTATTTTATGGTGTTTTCACCTAGAAGCTGAACAGGTATTATGTGACCCTTGAGTTTTTGGGAGCCTAAGTAGCATTCTGATTTCTTACTTTCATGGTATTTTTTTAAAAAGTGTTTACTTTAAATGAAAGCAGGAAGGTCAGCAGAAAGAAATACGAATTTTTGTTTTCAGACCTTATTGAGTTTAATGTGGGAATTTTTTTTAGTTGTTTCAGTTACCACATAGAAACTACATGCTTTCTCTGCTATCTCCCAATTACTCTTGCTCCCATTTACTAGGATCCTTTTTCTTTCTTAAATAATTACAAAGTCATGTATGAGAAAGCCAAATAGAAATTACAATCTTAAATTGAGACAATTGGGTAGTTTCCTTGGTCCTCAAAAAAATAAAATATACTATATATATGTCCATATATTATTTGACTTAAAATTAAATAAACTGAAATCAAAATACCCTAAAAAATTAAAATTTAAATTGGTATATCAATTAAATACATTTCTAAAGGTATTTCTTATAACTTGATCGGTTTTTACTTTCAGAAAGGGGCTCTAATGGAACAAGTAGCACATCAAGCTGTTGTAATGCAATTTATTATGGAAATGGCCAAAAATTGTAATGTGGATCCAAGAGGGTGTTTTCGTTTATTTTTCCAGAAAGCCAAAGTAAGTAGTTATTTGACATTAAAAGGGAAAGTTAGGCCTAAGCTGAGGTCTCTTTTGTTTTATACACGTTAAGAAAAGCCACCTAATGGGACAGACTCAATTCTGTGGAATTTCTAGGATTGAGAAAATTTAGTTTTGCTAACTTTATGCTGAGAGATAAAGAAGTTATAAAAGAGGCATGTGTATGAAATTGAGACCCACTCAAATAAATGTGGGAAACTTGGTACTAATGCAAAGTAAAGCTGTCTCAAATGCTGAGGATATAATGTTGAGCAAAGTTCAGTTACAAGATCCTCCATGTATAAAATTCATACTTTAATAAATGAGATTTCTATAATGAAAACATAGGAAACTATAAAAATTCAACACTTAGTAAAATAATTTGTAAAATTACGGGTTTTATTATTTTGGTATTTACTTATTGTATACAGACATGTATTTATGGAACATTTTTAATCTAAGGAAAACCTTATGCTGTGTTAGAAAAAAGTGATACATGTTTATATAAACAAGATAATGTTGGCCACATTAAAGAAAAATAGATACGTCTAGGAAGATTACCATTTCACATTTATTAGTTACAACTTAAAAGTTGCTCAGGAAATGGAGCAATAAACAGTTGAATTCATTGCCATTGGGGGGGTATATACTAGAAAACCACTTTGAAAAACCTTCTAGTAAATTGTAAGCAAGTGCATACCTAACATGCAAAAATTCTTTTAGGTATATACCTTAGAAGATAGGTTGTTAACATGTAATCCTACAAGCTCTGAGAGTCTTCAGAAACTCTTTAAAGAGGATTTCTGTCATTACTATATTCATAATACTAAGATGTCATTTATTTTTATTTTCATTCTCTCGTGAGTGAACAACAGAAATTGATGCTGAAGCAGATGTGAGAATCCATCTGTCTGCTGTAAAGTCAGACATTAGAGATTTACAGAAATGAAAAACGTATGCCACTGTCCTCACTAGTTTTTATTTTAGAAAACAGTTTTAATACTTCTTTTTGAAGACACAGGCTCTCTGTATTGTCTCCCTCAAATTCCTGTGCTCAAGTGATCTCCTTTTTCAGTCTCCTGGGGCCACAGCTACTGGCACACAGCACCATGCGTGGCCTTAGAAAATAGAATTTTTTAAAAAGAAAAGGTGTTAATAGTAGCATGTAATGAGCTTATTTTAGTTACCTTAAAAACTACTTGGTTTTAATTTCTAATAGTATATATTGTCAGATTCAACCTATGTACACATAGATTCTTTATCTTCTTTACTCCCATAATAAAGTTGAATGTTGAATTTTACTTGGTTTTTATAGCATTTATAAATGGAAAATATAAGGTCAGAATTACTAGAAATTAGTGCCCTCCCTCATTAATTTAAAACCTTTTATAAGGATATTCCTTGGTTATTTGGATAAGAGGATAAAAGAATGTGAGAGGTTAAATGAGGATTTTTTTTTTTTTTTTTAAGGGGTGGAGGGGCAGGTCAGATTCTATTAAAAGGATCCAGATAAAACAAGGGAAATACATGGGGTGACTGAAGAATATGGTGAATATTTTTAAAAATTTAAAATTTATTACAGGGAAAAAAACATTAGCTTTAATTTCCCTCAAAATATTCTCTTTACTTCAAACACTTACCCCATCATTCTTGCCACTTTGTGAAGTAGTTCCAGAAGTCTTTTTTTTTTTGTTCACTGCCTCAGTGTCCTGAATCAGTTCACAGTGCTTACTTTTCATGGTCATTTTGACTTTGGGAAAGAGCCAAAAGTAGCATGGATCACATGTCTTAAAAGACATGAAACAGAACTTCTAGTAGTGCTTCATAAAGTGGCAAGAACGATGAGGTAAGTGTACTTAAAGCAAGGAGGAGGACTACGAGGGAGAGTTCTGAGGGAGATTTAACATGTTCATGATGGGGCTGTAATGCATATGTCTCTGCTGGGTGGATTGAACTACCAGTGGTACATACACACCTGTCCCGTCAGACAGCTTTTTCTTAATTTTATTAGTGAAAAAGACAATAAAAGTGAGTAGGTCTATTTGTACCTCCAGTGGTACAAGCTGCCCAGCAGGATAATTGAGCATCTGTCACTGGTGGGTCAAGCTGGCAGGAAAGTGTTAGTAGCAATGTGTCTTCTACTGTGATAAATTTTAAAATGTAACCATTCACCATATATTTTGATCATACGTTATGTAAAGGAGATTTGCTTTCTACAGCTATGCATGAATGTTTCTTATTAGCTTATTTTACTCTGCTAAAGCAAAAAGAAATGGAGCAAATCAATTATTATGTTCTTATAAATTAAATAGTTTCATGAGCCTAATGGAGACCCTGGTGGTTTCTACATACATTTAGGCTATTCACCTTGCTTTTACTTCCTCCATCATTGTTACATGCTTTTTAGAACTTAGTGTGTGATCTAGAAGTCTTCAGAAACAGTCTTTGAGCCAGGCGTGGTGGCACATGGCTATCATCAGGAGGCTGAGGCAGGAGGATCATTGCAAGTTCAGGACCAGCTTGGGCTACAAAGTGAGCTCAAAGCCATCCTGAACTGCATAGCAAGACCTTGTCTCAAAAAGACAAAAAATTCAAAAAACAGTCTTTGAGCTGGGCCTTGTAGCACATGCATATAATCCCAGCTACTTGAGAGGCTGAGGCAGAAAGTTCCAGAGTACCCTGAGCTACTTAGTGAGACTTGTCTTTAAAAAAAAAAGGACTGGGGATGTAGCTCAGTGGTAGAGCACTAGCCTAGCGTCAGGCTTTGGCGATAATCCCTAGTATGTGTGTACACACACACACACACCCAAAATTCACATACTCTTTGATTTTTTTGTGTGTTCTAGGCAGAGGAAGAAGGTTATTTTGAAGCATTCAAAAATGAACTTGAAGCTTTTAAGTCAAGAGTAAGACTTTATTCTCAGTCACAAAGTTTTCAGCCGATGACAGTTCAGAATCATGTTCCCCATTCTGGTGTTGGATCTATAGGTTTGTTAGAAACCTTACCACAGGTAAGTTGGAAAAATAAGTATGTATTTTATAAATTTATTCACCTACATTTTATTCTTTTGCACTACTCATATGTCATGTGCTTGACCATTTAAAATGTTCTCACCTGGAAAGATAACCCTTGCCGGGCATGGTGGCACATGCCTATAATCCCAGCACTTGGGAGGTTGAGGCGGGAGGATTGCTGTGAGCTCGAGGCCAGCCTGGGCTACATAGTGAGTTCGAGGGTGACCTGAACTACATAGCCAGACCTTGTTGCAAAAGAAAACCTAAATAAGTAAATAATGACCCTTAGTTCTGTTTCATGCCATATTTTGGCATTGAATGTCTTCTACCTCTGAGACACTAAATTCTATCTCCTTTTAATGTGGAAAAGATGGTACCTAAACATTCTTGAGGGTTACCTGCTGACACCTCAGACTTGTCAAGATGGCTCTTAAAGAACATCTCATTGTGTGAAGTACTGTGCTTTACGTTATTTTTAGAGTTCCTGCCCATTTCCATTTTAGTAGTAATAGTAATAGTATAATGGATCTCTCATTTTCAGTCATCTCTTATTTCCTGGCTATAAGATTTTTAGACCAACTTTAGTCCGTTTATCTGTGCCCCACACTGTGAGGTAGAAAGTCTCACTCAGTGTTAGGTGACTCATACACTTACTTTTCGACTTTATAACGTGGTAAAAATTGAGATTTTTAATATCTTGACCATATGTCATAATTTTACCATTCTAGTTAACATGTATTTTAGGAAAGCAGTGGACTTATTCAACAGTCAGAAATGTTTATTTTTCAAGGATGAAAATAATTATCCTGTGATTTTTTTAAGTGATTAATAACGCTCCCCCTTAGACATGTAAGGAATACTGTTGTCACAGATTATCTCTTAACATTATTTAAGTACAATGATAATTTCACTTCAGTTCCTGAGAAAGCACACAGACAAGTGTTTTCAAGGGAGTTTCATGATTTAAATCACTGTCAAACCTAATGTATAGGCCAGGCATGCTGGCACAGGCTATAATTCCACCATTTGGAGGCTGAGACAGGAGTGCCATAAGTTTGAGGCCAGCCTGGGCCACATAGCAAGACTGTCTCAAAAAGCTGAAAAAGAAAAAAAATCCAACATATAAAAATCAAACTGTCATAAAATGCGTAGCAAATAGAGACCTGAAGAATATTATTAATTCTTAGTATAAAAGGGAAAATATATACATTAAAATATTGTTAATAGCCTATACCATCAAAAAACTTCTTCTGGCTTGAAAGAAGTAAGTTCTTGTTAAATATATATCAATAGCAATTGATATCAGCTGCTAAGCCTGCATTGTAGCCATGGAGGGGGTGGATGGACGTGGGTGGTACCTCATAAAATTTTGACACTTGAATTGTTGACATTATCCAGCTTGTTCAGACTTATTTAATGGGGGCTAACGGATAAGTTGAGAAACTACAGAGAAGCCAAGGTGTCAGTTTAGAGATTTGGAAGAAAATTTAATCATAATAATAATGTCTTATTTGTGTATCAATATATAGGTTGTGAGACACTTTCATGTTTTTGCATCATTTCATATTTTTAATCATCTCCGTTCTGTGGTTCATTTGCATCCAGTTTTATAGATGAGTGAAAGTTAATGGAGGTTGCATTAAGTAAACACAACAAGTGATATGAACTAACATTCTAATCCTGAATGTCCTACTGCACTTCTCATTCATTAACGTCACAGATTGTTGAATCAGATACTAAAAATAGGACAAGGCAGTCACATGCTTTTAGGGAGAACTGGTCACTGGGACATTGCTGGAACAAGTGTTGAGAATGTTATTAGGTGGGAGTAGGAAGCAGTCAGTAGAATTTTAAGTGTCAGGTTAGGGATTTTGATTGCTTTTTGTTCAAGTGTCTCCATTAATAGTGTCTTACAGTTCTTAGGAAAGTGAATAAGCTATGGAGAATCTTCTCAACCAGCTCTTAATACTCAAAATTCTGTCATGGAAAACTAGAACCGAGACTTTAATAGAGAAGGGCTTTGGAATTTGGCCTAGATTGTCTGAAAAGGACTTAATACTGCTTTTTGAAAAATGGGATAATGTAACAAGAATGTTCACTTTTTTATAAATCTTAAATTTGAACAATATTTTTGCTGTTCTTTTTTTGTAATTGACAGCAGCCTTGTGAAATAAGCCAAAGACTGTTATTATCCTCAGTTTTGAGAAGACTAAACCAAGGTCTCTTTGATATAGTTAACAGTTACTTTAGGTTTATTCTATAGACTAGCTCTAAATTTTATTCAATTTGAAGGATTTTTTGCTTTTGAGGATTGCCATACTAAGTAAAGGCAGAACTAGAACTGAGGCCCATATGCGTGACCCAGACCCTAAGCAGTTTATTGGTGCCACTCCTTTCCCAAAGGCCTGCTTGGTAATAATCCACATTCTGGCTAAGTTTTGGGCTTTTACTAAAGAAAGCAGTAAATGTACTTTGTCAGGAGGACTTTTTGAAAACCCTGCCTCTGTGTGGGATGTTAAAGTTTAAGACAGCTGTCCTATTTGGACTGTCTCCTTTGTGTTCTTTTTCCACATTGGTACTTCTTAAATAGAAATAAGTGAAACAAGTTGACACAATAGTGGAAGTGTAAATAGCTGGCCTATATTGAGACTAACTTGAGTAGACAAAATTGAATTCTTGGGGAAGAATTTGTTAGGTCTTGGGTCTTAAAGGCTTATGTCCTTATCCCTGGTACTTTAACAAATAATGGTTTTATTTCTGCATTTATTGAACAAAAGTTTGTGTTTTTTGTTCCTGGTTTTTGAAATGAGCATATATGACATTTGAGTTTTCCTTCTGTTTAAAAATAAATCCTGTTCTTTTCTTTTATTCTTGGGTTCAAAAAATGTGAGCCTAAGTGCCTCTCAAAAGATTAAGGATTTCTCATTCAAGTTTGTTTTACTCATTAAATGGACTTTTTTTATTCACGTTTTGCATTTTTAGTATTTACTGTTATAATTAGTAACCTTCAAAGTACGTTGGAGGCTTAAAGTCATATTTATTATTTATCAGTTAGCTACACAGAAGAATAATGTACCTTTGTATGGATTAAATAATTAAAATTATAATTTTTTCAAAAGGATAAAAGAGTGGTGTTACATTTCTGTTCATGTGTATCGCTCTGTCTTTATCATGTTTCTTTGGATTAAGTGATAACGTGCTATTCTTTATTTTCTTGGGTTTTGGTCCAAGTCTCACTCCCAAGTTCATCTTCATTCCTGTTCTGCAGAACTGCAGAGAAATAGGGAATGAGACCGAGTATGTAATTGTATGTACTGACATAAAACTGGTTACCATGTGTTCTTTTTCCCCCACCTTTTTTTCCCTCCCCCAGAATCCAGATTATCTTCAGTATTCTATCAATACAGCTACAGCTCTCTGCAGTTTAAATTCAGTGGTACATAAAGAAGATGATGAGCCCAAAATGATGGACACTGTATAATTTGGTTAAGACTGCTGAGGCCAAGTGCTATTTTGTTACCAGAAAGGAAGAACTTGGCTATTTTCTTGACACTTTTATGGGTGCTGCACTTTATTTTTGTTTGTTTTTGATGGGAGAGAAAATGGAGTACTGAAACATTTTGTAACTTGTTTTTATGTGCTGCTAGGTCTTTTGTTTTTTTCTGAAGGGAGGAGTGGTACCACATGTTGGAGGAAGTCAAATTGGACTCCCCCCACCTCCCCTTTGGCTACTAATTTTGCCTTTAATTGTTCTCAATTTTGAAATCAAAGTTATGAAAATCTGCACAAATGCAATGTTTACAAGAACTGGTTGATTCTAGTAGGCATCTGCTACACAGTCTCTTTTTATATGGATATGTACATGTCCTCTACAAAAATAATTAAAAATATACTTTTATCCCACCGATAATTTAACTGTCAAATCTGGTGTTTCATTAAAAGCAATAAATCAGTAGTTGGTAATCTGCTTTACTAAACAAGCTGGGTGGCACAAATTTTTAAAAATCTTTCCTTTTAAAATATTACATTTGTATTTTCGGCACCATCAGTTAAATTCTTGACTGTAATATAAATGTGATTTAAAGACATTACATTTATCCCCAAAATACTCACTAAACTGTTCTTTAGAAGTTGATTTTTATCTTGTTGACTTTTTAATTAAGGCTTGTAGTGATACAAAAAATGATGGGCTTATGTATTATGTTGTGGTTTTTTTTTTTTTTAATTAAGATAAACTTCAAGCTCACTCATTTCTTAACATAGTCTGGGATCGCTCAGGGAGTAAGTTTTAAAAGAATACTAATGGCCTATAAGAACAAACAGGAAGAATGATATGATTTTTAAAATTATGATTATTGTTTGTTTCACTCTAATGTAGCTTTTTTTTTCCTAAAAGGCTTTTGTGAAAGACATGAGACATCCTATAGAGCTGACTGCCTTGAGCTGCAGCTACTTATTTCTATCCGGTAATCCTTCATATGGTGATGATGGCTTTTACTACATTTGTTGTTCCTTTTTCAGCTGTTACCATAGAATGCTTCTGAGCATTACTACTTCCTATATAATTTACTTTTAAAAAATCAGGATATTTGATAATTCATTTTATTTAGAAACAGATGACAGTGCTAACTATGCTATCCTTATTATTTGAAGATGAATGCACAGGAACTTGAGCTTTGATTGTGTTTGGGTATAGGTAGTCTTTGACTTAGTACCCTTTGAGACTAGTAGCAAACATTTGGAAGATGGCTAACTGGGATTGGGAATATGTATCTCAGTTGAGGAAACCAAACTGAGGGACCCATATGGGGCTGAGAACTGTGACTTTGGCTTCTTTTGCACCTTGTGTTAACTGAGGTGATTAGGCACTTAATACTAATAGAAATGGACTGGAATTATTGAGTCATACTTCTGTAACATCACAATCTTCCCTGTTTTCAGAATAAAATCTTTTGTGCTTTTGATACATAGTCTATAATAAAACGTTCAACTAAATTTATACAGTAGTATTCATCAGATTGGATTTTTAAAAAAATTTTAACCAGATGTTCTGGTCATAGATACCCACCACCCCACCCCACCCCGCTGTTGTGGAGCATGTGCTTGTTTTCCCTGCGTAGCAGATGGAGAGAATAGAGTTACACACAAAAAGATCTCCAGTCTCACAGAAATGTTATTTGAACTATTATTTTCAATTTCACTCCAGTTTCACTTTTCCCCATGACTTGGCCTGTAATCGTCCGAATTGTTTTTACCTTTCATTTTGCCTTACGTTAGAGCTACTAATGGCTAAAGACTGATGAGAGAAGTATGGACAAACTGAATGAACTATTCCTGAAGGGGTTTGCATTGTTTTTTAAACAGATTACTGAAGAACAGTTCTTAGAAATTTAACTATATATATTTTTTTACTTTGAGCAGGAAATGTTCTGTATTTTGAGTGTATGAAAGTATGATTGTATCTGTTCTGGGAACCACTGGCTGTTGCCATAATTTGCACTTAAATGACTTTTACATAACTAACAGTACTTCAGAACTAAGAACAGCCAAGATCCTTTTTCTTCTCTTCATTCTGAAAATGTCCTCTTCAGTACCGAGAACTAACACCTTCCAAAACAAATACCCTCTTTTCTGTTTCTTAATAATAAAGAAGAGTATACTGAACAAAGAGATAACTCATTATTTCAGGCTGGACAATTTTCCCTGAACAAATTAAACCATGGAATGTCCAAACTGATTAATGAAACATCTTTGACATCAGAGTATTCAACAGCGATTCTTGTTTCACTTGATAAAATCTTCTAATAAAGTACTTTTTAAAAAAACAAATAGTTATCACTCCATTTATTCTCTTAACTCTTTGTCATTCTGTCAATGGTAGTGGATGATACTGGTTTAAAATTATTAATCTAAGATAGATAAATGGGCAGCATTCTCTTCCATTTATACCATTCGGGGGCTTTTTCCATGTTTGCCTCATGAACTCACAACCTGCTGTAACTTCTCTTTTGGACAATCAGGCTTTCTTCTTTCAGACCAACATTCACATTATTACCGTAAAAGTGAATTAACATGCAATCCAAAGAACATGCCTGTGTTTTATTTTGAGCCAGGGTCTCATTAAGTTTCTAGGTTTAGGCTTGAACTTTTTATCTTACTGCCTCAACCTCTCGGAGTGCTGAGAGAACACCACACCCGGCTTAATAAGTACATTTCTTATAGTATGAAGAGAATGGTCATAGGTTTAGGTTGGATGATCCTAAGTATTTTCAGAGAAAACATGTCAGTTTACTGTTCTCAAAGTAAGTTGTGTATTTTAGTTCTTAAATTGATGTGGGACAGAAATGGTGCTTATATATGGTTACATTTTACCATTGTGTCATACATATTTTAATAAGAACCTTAAATCTTATGCATCCATTCTCATTTGTAATTGACATGTATATCCTGTTTCATTGGTCCTCTGAGAAGCAGATTCATTTAATAGATATTTGCTTACTGTGTAAATGGGTATACAAAGAGGAATAAAAGTTGATTATGAACTTCTTACTGTCTAAAAATGAAAATGTTCTCATGAGCTTTAAAGAATTAGATTTGAAGTTTGGTGTGTTCTAAATACGGTATAGAAAACGATTTTTTAAAAATTCTCACATCTTTCATTTGGTTTCTCTAAACATCGTGATTATTAGTGCTACTCTTCAGACACTTGGCAATCCTTTGGAAAAGTATGACAAATACTGGACTGATGTATACATTGAGACAGTTTACCTTTATTCAGTGCTATATATGGAAAAACTCACAATCCTTAGGAAGCTTTTAAAAAGGGTCAGATAGAGACTATAGATCTGTGTTAGCCTTTACTGTCAGTGTTCTTAGGAATGGTTGACTATTTTAACTCTTTAAGTATTTTTTTTTTCCCGGTACCGGCAATCAAACTCACGACTTCACGCTTGCCAGGCAGGCGCTGTGCCACTGAGCTAACTCCCCAGCCTCTTTAAATATTTTTAAACCAAGACTTCCAAGATGAAAATCTTTCATTGCAAGAGTAAGAAAGCCACTTCTGCAGTTTATCATTGACATTCTTTTGTCAATGAGAAGACACTTTATAAGCAGGTTTTAAAATACAAATTTATTCTCGCTGTTGGTTGCAAGTACTGTTCAGTAATTTGATGTAACACAAGGTTACAGTGGTTGATTTGTTGGTATAAGGCAGTTTTGTTCCAAGCTATGAGGACCCAAAATACTTCGCTGTAATGCCACTGTAGATAGCTGAGGGGTGGAAGGAATAGGGTTTAGAAATTTTAAAAAAAAATTTTTTTGAGCCAGATTTTAACCTATTTCAGATAGAATTGAAAGCTGAAATACAAGTGGTAACAGTTACTGCCATTTCCCATTTCCAGCCTCATGCTTTGCGTGACTGTGTTACTCCAGAAAGTAGGGTAATGAGTTGAGACGCTGTTCTCATTATTTTCTAACTGAAGTATAGTAGCTCTTCCTGCCCGTGACATTCAGCGACGCTGTTACCCTGTGGCACATGAATCATAGCGGACATCACTGCAGTATTTGTTTAGCGGGACGCACTCAGCAGTGATATTCTTAACATTGCCTGTGACACGAACCCATCCAGCAGAAATTGTTTTAATAAAAATGTCATGCTCGTTTCTCAGAGTAGTGGATGTATGTGCAAAATTATGATTCTGGGGCTGGGGAAGGAATGGTCCCAGCGAAAGGGAATCTTAGTTTTCATAGCATTCTTCAAACTTTCTCTGATCACAAGTCACCGAGGTGTCATGAAAGCCAGTATGACTATCAACAACCTACCAGAAGATAAAAGACTTACATGGAATTAAACCAGCTAGGGGCTGGGGATTTAGCTCAGTGGCAAAGGGCCTGCCTGGCAAGCGCAAGGTCGTGAGTTCGGTTCCCGGTACCGGAGAAAAACCAAAAAAAAAAAAAAAAGAAAGAAATTAAACCAGCTATGCACTGTTTGAAGACAGTTTATTAGAATGAAGCCAGTGAGAAGTCAGGACAGCAGAAAGGTGGGGGAGAGTGGGCCTTGTGAATTATCAAAGACAAAGTAACGGCCATGGTAGTTAAATTTTATTGTAGTAGGAACATGTATATCTGATAACCTAGTGATAAATTTGGCAGTTCACATTTTTAGAAAGCATATAAACATTCAAATAAGGCATTACAAGAGTTTTATAAAGAACTAGTGACTGTAATCCTTTTTAAAAGCCTTGTTCCATTTTAAAAGATCAACAATGAATTTTTAAAAATAAGAATTTTAAAAAAGGAAAATAAGTGCCTCCCCCCAATACATAAGCACCCCTGCCTGGCACTTGAATTTTAAATGCCTAGAATAAAATGAGCCAAGTTCTTAAAAGGCCAGTTAACAGTTTGTACAAGTGCTTGATACGTTCGTTTTAGCACCAAGTAAAATAAACGAATTGTATAGAAAACACAGTTGGGTTTTTCCTGTTCTCAGATTGCCCCATTTTCGACCTGGCCACGACACATGAGCATGCATCTTTGTTGCCCTACTAAAGAAACACGATTTAGTTTTTTAAGTGGCTGCTCAAGAGGACACCAGCAGAGTTCTTTGCTCCTGACTGATGGCAGTGAACACTAGCAGATGTCAGTTTCTTCAGTCAAGTAAAGATCCCCTTTGGGGAACTCCATTACTTTCTGATCCTTTTCTGACCTCTCATATCTGTTTGTTACTGCTGCACCTGTTTACTAATTATGGTTGTGTTAATGTCAAGGGAATGTCCTCCTGGCATGGTTGATCTATTTATATTCCCTTAATAACAAAGTATGCTTACTTTACATAGTGCCAACTTAATTTATTTTTTGTTTGTACTATAATTTGTTATTTGCCAGTGTAAATTACACATTTGGATTAAAAAGAAACAAGTACATCCTATGTTCATTAACCTAAGTAACATCTGAAAACCTGATTATATTTGCCAGTGTAAATTACACATTTGGGTTAAAAAGAAACAAGTACATCCTATGTTCATTAACCTAAGTAACATCTGAAAACCTGATTATATTTTCCATTGAAAATTCATTCACTGCTGGTACTGGTCTAAAAATTTTGTTATTTTTTACATAAATCATATCCCTTAGTGCACATGTATTTTCAAACAAAAATAAGCTGATTTCTTATATACTAACATATATTTTATAGCAAATTAAAAATTCTGAGTAAGCCAAAGTTGTGTCTAGTGACAAAATAAATACATCATCTATAGCTAGCTTACATGTTTATTAGTGTAAAGGCAACAGTGAATTTGCATCTTGCAACATCTATAAATCCCGTTGCTTTTTTTCTATAATGTCAGGAAACTATACAGTGTCTCACAAAACCATATTCCACAGGACTAGAAAATGTCTTTTTTTTTTTGCATCATTCTGCAAAAGTCTCATGATATTTTCCCCAAGTGAATGACAGAAAAATATGAAAATTTGATTTATCAAATACTGGACAAAAAAATTACTACCAACTGCTTTTAATTTCACTCATTTTAAAGTTTTAACATACCTGGTGTTTTTGAATTGTACACCTGTAAAAGATGGGTAAAACATACTAGACCATTTGTAAAGATCTGTCTTAGTATCTGATTCATTTGGCACACCCTTAGTAATAGCCAGAATAAAATCAATAGAAATAAAACAGTTTGCAAAGAATTCATATGTTCTTGATTCTTAGAAAACAGAAGCTGCTAAAGGCACAGAAGAGTTTCTTCTGCTCATCTTAGTAGTTACGTGCTTTTCTCTCATGGAGTAACTGAGGCTTTCTGGTTTGTCTGTGGAACTTTCGTTTGTAGGAAAGCATGTACGTGTGGCCAGATCTTGTTGGTTTCTGTTCCAGAGAATGTTTCCAACACCCCTTTTTTCCTAAAGATGGAAAGAAAACAAAAATCCATAGGCCCGACTCTTCCTAACAAGCCTTTTCAAAAAAACTTTTTCATGAAAGATGACAATGTAGGAGTTCTGTAGTATAGGTCCATATGATCAAGAGAGAAAGGAACTTGGCCAGTTAATTGGAAAACGTAGATTTTAGTTTCAGCTTTGCCCCCTGGCTTACAGAAACGGGCACCTCAAAAATAATAGCAGCTATCATTTATTAGGCACGCACTGTGCTAATTTAATCCTTTACAAAGCTCAACTTTTCTTCTTTCATTGATAATACTGTCTCTTTTGTAAAATTAACTTGGTCCAAATCACCAAGATGGTGGTAGGTTTCCAATGGGACCTGTCAGTTCTCAGAACACTCCTTTGTCCACTTAAGTCTTACGCAAAATGAGCTAATATTTCATTATCCTATTTGCTAAGGTTTTGTGTTTTTGTTTTTTTTTTTTCTAGTCTACCCTTGTGAATTTTAACAGAAAGGGGAATAGAAAGTGTTAAGTTTTACTGGTTTTCCTGTTAGATTTCTCCATTTCTCCTGGGCAGGTTTGTCTGGCTTGTGATGAGCCCAGTAGCGAAAGTCTATTTTATTTACCTGTTTCCTGTAGATCTCATGGTGAGGAGTGAGATCGGAATCCTGGGGTTGCTTTTCAAACCACACAACTCTCCAGAGTCTGCCAGTCTTGCTAACCCCACCTCTTCTAGCCCAGACACTCCTTTGCAGATACATCAGTTGAAAGAAAGCATAAGAGCTACTGAAGAATGATGATTTACAGTTTTCTTAAACAGGATCAGTCATCTTACTAAGTTTTCAGAGTTTTCACTCAGAACAAAAGGATTTCGTTTTGATCCCTCATAAAATTCACTACAATTAACACTTTTCTTGTTAAGATGCATCTGCTCTGGAGAGAAGTTATGTAAACAGCATTCTTTGCATATTATAAGCCCTTTAGTTTCTGAATTCACAGGCATCTAGTAAGGCTTTCAAGAGAACAAGCCTAACAATTTTAAGCTTCTTGAGGAGCCACTTTCATAGCAAGCCACGTTGTCACAAGTGGGTTAATTACTGAGGGCACCACTGCAGGCATCTAGTCAGTCCTAGAACTGTACCTTGAGTAAACATTGGTCATTTTACTAACTGGATAACGAAATGGATCTAGCTCCAAAAAGAGTAAGAGCATTCTGTTTGTAAACACAAACCTATTCTGTTAATGTCCCACAGGTGAGAAGAGTTTAAAACTAATACGACTGTCAGCATTGTAAAGTAGTGCTATACTAAAGTTCTTACAAATGCTATTTCCAGTACTTCAGTCCAGCTTTACTTCTATGTGTGAGAACACACAAGAAAAAGTAGAAGTGATGGCAAGAGGTAACAAAAGCCTGAAGACGCCTAGAAGGATTAGAGTATCTCTTAAGGATCTGTGCCATTCATTTCTGCAGCCTTTCCCAACTTCTCACATCTTGGCAGAACTATTCAGAGCCTTGTGGTGGTAGCGTCTGCCAGGCGGTAATGTATTCTGCCTTCTGGACACTATTGGAAATCTCCCCGTAAGACTGAAGTGAGACTATCTCCATTCCCCATCTGCAAAAATGGCATGGTCAGAGCTAATCTGTGTCAGCCAGGAGACAAGCAATGAGGCTTGCTTTTCTGCATGGGTAGCTCAACCGGTAGGAAGTAAGCTGGTGTTGAGAAGCTGCCACACGGGGGAGCCCACCTGACACGGAAGCAAACACCTGACAATGGACCTGAAATTGAGTCTTACTGGCCGGCCAGCCTGCCTGCCTCCCTCTCTTCCTCCCTTGTGTCCCTCCCTCCCTCCCTTCCTTCGTTCCTTTTTCTTTCTCCCCCTCTTCCTCCTCTTCCCCCTTCCTCCCTCCCTCTCTCTCTCCCCCTCCCTCCCTCCCTCCTTTTCCTTTCTCTGGGTCCAGCTGGCCTTGAACCCATTATGTAACCCTGGCTGGCGCTGAACCCATGGGAGTCTTCCTGCCTGTGTTTCAAGTGCTGGGGTTACAGGCATGTGCCACCATTCCTGGTGATATCTTTTTTCAAGACCTAGACCAAGCCATGTATCTACCATTGAAATTTTTAATTACCTGATCAGCAAATTCCTCTTTTGCTTAAGCCATTGTGAATTAGGTTCCTGATCAATAAAAGCATGTAGCGCCAGGTATGGTGACACATACCTGTAACCTAGCACTCAGAGGGGTGAGGCAGGAGTCGCTGTTTGGGGCCAGCCTAGACTATACAGTGAGACCCTGTCTCAACCTAATGAAAATAAAATAAATTTTTTAAATGAAATAATAAAAGCACGTATCACATTGCATGGTGAACACTTTCCCTACCTCTCCTCACCCACATATACAAGGTGAGTTTCCTGGGGCATGAAAGGAATCGGGTCCACATGTCCACATGCCGGGCACCGCATCAAGAGTAAACAGCAGTCGCGTGAGTGGACACCAGGACTGCTTTAAGTCTTCCCACGGATCCTCTCGCTTCATTCCCTTAACAGCCCCACATAGCACGTACTGCAGATACTCTTTAACAGTCCACCTGTTTAACACCTCTGTTCTTACATCTGAGGCATGCTGTTCAGACTTACGACCCATGGTTTTTTTTGTACAGTTCTATACATCTTGTCTGTAGAGCGTCAATGCCTTTTTCTTATACTGTACACCTTGTTTGTATTACACTGTAATTTTTGCTGATTGTACTGTACAGTACAGCACTATAGTTGTAAATTCTGTTATATATTACAAGCCGGGCATGGTGCGCACACCTGTAATCCCAGCACTCAGGAGGCTGAGGCAGGAGGATCACTGCGAGTTGGAGGCCAGCCTCAGCTACATAGTGACTACAAGCCAGCCTGAATTTCATGAGACCCTGTCTCAAAAAACAAAACGAAACAAAAGTAACCTATACGTTACAGCACTGTCTGTAAGAGTTATGCAAATAAAAGCATATCCATCAAGTTGGAGTTTCCTTTGACCATTTCTTTGCTGAGTACTGTACATAGTATATACAATTCCTCATTTAGCAACCGATTCCCTTAGTGACCCAGTCACAGGAACAGAAGTCAGTAGTTAAATGAAGAAAGCCTATATTTAATACTGCCTAATCTTATAAATAAGAAGTTCGTGCTACTCACACTAAATATATTACCCAGGCTGACAGAGCTAGTAATCCTCAAAGCCAGGCTTTTTATAAATCACAAAATTACAGTAATAGCTACTGTAAAAAGTGAATTGCCAACTGTTGTATCCTTTCATCCTCCAGAAACACCTATTAAAACAGTTCGGAGAGTGTTGCTTCAGATTTTATTGCATACTTAACCCTGTGACAACAATAACTACTGTTACAACAGTTACTACTTACAATGTGCTTACTGTGTCAGCCATAATTTTATTAACTCACTTTCCCGCCTCTGTTCTCCTTTACAGAGGACAAAACAGGCAGAGTTTAAGGAAGGGGTTAAGGCTAAGCCTATTAAATAGCAAGGTGGGACCTGAATTTGAGCATTCCGGCTCCAGAGCCTGTGCTCTCACTGTGACCCTGCTTCCTTGACACTGAATCCTTACTCCGTAAGCAAATGAGTGAAAGGAAAGAGGAGGAGGAAGGCCTGCACCAAATACTAACGCAGTACAGTTCCCGTTTTGTGTGATAGGAATTCTCTGAAGAACAGATAAAATCATGTTAGAATAGAAGCTTTTAAAGGCTATTAGCAGGGCTGGGGATATAGCTCAGTGGCATAAGCGCCTGCTTGGGAAGCGCAAAGTCGTGAGTTCAATCCCCAGTACCGCAAAAAAAAAAAAAAAAAAAGGCTATTAGCCAGATAAGTGATCTAAAGATTAGTTGTCACTTAAGATCCTTCGGTGCTAAAGCACCCTCCACTGGCACATTCAGAGCTTTGCGTTTGCCTCCGCAACCTGCATCCTAGCCCTCTCACTACTCAGCAGGAATAGGGGTGAGACTAGCCTACTCCAGGCTCTGGGTGTGAACTAATCAGTGTTACCCTTCCTGGCCCAGTGACCGCTTCAGAAATGAGCAGTGACCCGGGCCTAGAACACTAAGTCCCTCGCAACTGTGCTGTTCAATTGGTTTAATCTGAGGGATGCTTGGAGCTTTTGTACACTGAGGGAAAGGTTACTCCTCGGTCCTTATGAAAGAAGTAGCCCTGCCTGTTCCAGCCAAATGTGCAACCACTCAGGAAACTTGAGGACAAAGCCAGTAGTTCTAAAGAAGGCAAAGTTGACAGATTGGCAAAACTTATCAAACCTAGGACTGGCAGGCCCAACCTACTTCTGGAATTCCTTGTTACACAAGCTAACAAATTTCCTTTATTGCTTCAGCCAATTAAATTTGGGTCTCCTGGTATGTTAGCTGTAAAGTATGGAAAATTAAAAATGTACTTTGTGCTGTGTCAGTAAGAAAGGTTCCAAGAAGCAAGAACTCACTGGTAATATTCCAGGACTGGCTCTGTTTGGGCTTCGTAAGCCTTCAGTCTCTTGATCACCGTCTCTGGTTTATCATCCTCACGTTGAATCAGAGGCTCTCCAGTCAGATCATCGATGCCCTAGACGAGTTAGAAGAGACTGGTGTCAAACATCATATTCTGAAGGATGTTTTTAGAAGTTTCATTATTTTTAATCGGCTGTCTTCTCTGTGTAAGCAACAAGCACAGAAAATGTGTTAGCTTTTAAGTAAATGGGATCCAACCCAAGACAGAGGACTGCAACACTTCGTCAAGAAGCGCGTGCCTTTGTTCTCTCACATGCCGCCATCATGATGTGCCGCCCCAACACAGGCCTAAAAACCGTGTGCCAACCGATCACCGACTGAAACCTCCAAAATCGAACTTGATTATATAGGTGTTTGTTGCAGTGGCAGAAAGCTAATACACATAGATTTCTTGGTTAAAAGGTTTTCTAAGCAGCGTCTAAATAATTCAAAATATATACAAAAAGATGCAGCTGTAGACCTTGAATCTCACCTGTAAGCCAGTGATCCAAATCCCCACTGCCTTAGCTCCTACCACACTTTCTGGCACAAGGTACAAAGTTAATAAATACTTCAAGAAGAGTAACAAAATCCTCTTGCTCCTGGAGCACCTTTACTACCAAGCTGAGTGGACTAGACCGGTCTGCTGCATCAAGCAACCTGAGAAAACACCCCCAGGAGCTTTGCGGGCAGAGGATTTCCAAGTTCACACAACTCGTACCTGTGGAAGCAAGAGGACTCAGAGGCAGTTCCACCACAGCTACTCACCACAGTTTTGGGAGGGTTGAATTCGATGTTGTAGACTCTGCCACTGGCTGGATGAATCCAGCGAGCGGTGAGACGTTGTTTAATGACCTCAAAGGGCACATTCAGGTTAATCACTGTGTCTATCTGATAGGCTCTGTCCAGGGCTTCTGCCTGTGGAAGTGTCCTCGGGAAGCCTTTACAAAGTAAAACAAATAGGAATGAAGGGAAGGGGACAGAAGGATGCGGAAAGGAAAGAAGTTATGTTGAGCAAGAGTAGTAACATCAGGCAGGCTGTAGTAGAATTGCGATGGTTAACTTTTGTGAGCCAATTTGACCAGGCTATGTGATGGCAAGATACTAGATCAAACACTCTGGTGTGTATGTCAGGGTGTTTTTGGATCAGACTAACATTTAAATAGGTAGAATAAAGCATATTGCCCTCCCTGGTGAGGATGGACCTCAGCCAGTCAGTGAAGCCAGCCTCACTGCCATCTAACTGGGATATCTATATCTACGTTTTCCACCCTTTAAACGAAAAACTCAACTTCAATCAAAACCTCAAAAGTCTTCTTTTTGGAATATGACAGGAAACTTAAAGCAGAGGGATAAGCCCTACAGTTAAGCACCCCTAATCCAAACATCTGAAATGCGGTAATGCTCAAAAGCTTTGGGTTTTGAGAATTAGGAGTGTTCTGCAGGTGAAGTCTATGCAAATATCCCAAAGCACAAAAACCCGAAACTCTTCTGTTCCCAAGCATTTCAGCTATGGGATACTCAACCAGTAGAGCTAAAGTAGTTTAAACACTGTGGTTCAAAAACGCAGGGAAAGCCAAATGTACCTGATTAGTGAATCCATAAATAGAACCAAGTATATTAGAAAATTTAAAATAATATTTTGGCACTAAATATTTGACTCTGCACTGTCAGCACTAAGGACATATTTTCCAGAGCACCAAGAAAAGTTAGAATTGGTAGAAAGAATATATTTTTCAAAAGTGACAAAGGTTAAAACTGCACAAGCAATAAACTGTTAGAGCTAAAAATACATTTCCTTGGTGACACTAAAGCATGGAAAAATCTGCCCGTGACTTAGACCTTGTAATGTGCTAAAATCACAATGGTAATGACTACAACTGCAGCCTGAAAACCTGGATTCGGGGAAAGAGCCTCTAAAGAAAGCTTATGATGACAAAAAGAAAGTCACTTAAGAAAAGGTAAAGTTCAGCGTCATTCTGATTCTGGAATTCTCTGAAATGTGCTCGAAGACTTAAATTTATTAATTTTTTGTTTTGTTTTGTTTTCCGGTACCGGGAATCGAACTCACGACCTTGCGCTTGCCAGGCAGGCGCTGTGCTGCTGAGCTAAATCTCCAGCCCCTAAATTTGTTAACCTTAAATCTTTTTTTTTTTTTTTCTGTAATAGAACTCGTTCTTTTGCACAATGGTATAAAGCTGAGCACAGGATTATGAGCACAAGCCTTTACTCCACCTGTGACACTGTTCTCCAGTCTTACCACATGAGCTTGTTTCTCAGCGTTTAAATGCCAATCAGGGGGCTGGGGATTTAACTTAGCGGCACAGTGCCTGCCTTGCAAGGGGAAGGTCATGAGTTGGATTCCCGGTACCGGAAAAAAAACCAATGAATGCCAATCAGAGGGTACTGTTGGGAGTACAAGCCATTTTATACATGTAACGTTCAGTTCAGTTGAGCTGCTTTTACATCAAAGTTAAAATTGATCTTGTATTCCTTAAACCTTCAAATCTGTTTCTCCTGTCAGATTTATTAATTAATCAATTAATTTATTTTTAAGACAGGGTCCCACTATGCAGTTCATTTCTTTCTTTCTTTCTTTTTTTTTTTCTGTCTTTTTGAGACAGGGTCTCATTGTGCAGTTCAGGCTGGCCTTAAGCTCACTTTGTAGCCCAGGCAACTGGGCTCGAACTCTCAATGATCCTCCTGCCTCAGCCTCCCGAGTGCTGGGATTACAGGCGTGCGCCACCACGCCTGGCCACTATGCAGTTCAAGCTGGACTTGAACCTATTATATAGTCCAGGCTGGCTTTGAACTCATGTCGATTCTCCTGCTTCAGCCTCCCAAGTGCTGAGATTACAGGCGTATACCACCATGCTCAGCCCTGTCAGATGTTTTAAAAAACTGCCACTACATGCTTTTGGCATCTTTTATGTTGTTATTGCTTAAGTGTATGAGAAATGTGTAAAAAAGAGGGAAGTGCAATTTATAAATCCATTTTCATAAGAAAATATATATTGTGTTTATACATTTTTTTATTTTGGGTTTTTGTTTTGTTTTGCTTTAAAAGTCTACACTGAAGCCCCTACTTTATCGCATGTGCAGAGCACAATCTTTTATAATGGCAAAAAACTCAAAGTGTACAATTTTATATAGCACCAAAGCTGAGTAATAAATCAAGCATTTATTATAAAGTTTATAGTGAAGCAGTCCCGGGGAAAACTATTTTAATACATTTAAAAAGAATAAATGGAATGGCTAAATATATTGAATGCTTTCCAGGTGCCAAGATCTGTATGCCAAATGTTTTCTCAGGGTCCCTTCTTTCAACTGTCATCATAACCATAAGAAAGGTAGTGTATTATTACCACTTTACAAATGAGGAGATTTAAGCACAGCGAGGTTCAGTAACTTGCTCTAGCTATTACCTACGCAGAGGAAGTAGAATTTGAACACAAGCTATCCAGCCCAACACCTATGCTTATAAACATGGGGTATACATTGAAAAAACCGAAGTCTTGATAAAAATGCCTGTCTGCTACTGTGGTTCTGATTAAAAGGTTTACATTCATGAACTTAGACCCAAACATCCACTGAAAGAGATGAGCTGAATGAAAACGACCTCTAACATTAACAGGAATATACGGATAGTTTCCATAGCATCACACCAACAGCAAAAAGCTGGATGTGACCCCAACATTCCTAGGCAGGGGATTAACTGGAATACAATGCATACTTCACAATGCAAGCTTCCACTTCACTTCTTTTATTTTTAAAAATAAAAAAAAAAGAAAACATATTAACCGACAGACATCCATTTACAAAATAACATAAGAACAATACAAACAAAACAGAGTTACAGATAAAGTGGTAGGAAATTAACCATGGTACTTTGCTTATTTCAAAGAGGTGAATCTGTTAAATATAGTTTAATTCAGTGAAAAGGCAAAACGCCCGAAAATGGCATCTATATGCTTTGTGTGTACATGTGTACAGATAAAGAAGGCAGTATCAGGTATTACTTGGTGGAGGAGAGGGAATCTTCATATAAAGACGTATGTGTAGATTTGTATTTTTTTAAATCACTATACAAAAAAGTCCACACAAAGTACATTTCAAGCAATTAAAAGCAGTTGCTCCTAAAGGATATGACTACTGAGGACTTTAAGTTTTTTGCCCTTACATCCTTTGAATTTTTAAAAGGAAACAGCGTTGTTGCAGTAGAACAATGACTTTAAAAATCAGAAATAAGAAAGGTTTGCCATCCCAGACCCTTGCCCTGTGGTCCTGTCTTTGATGCATTCCCCATCTGTGCCCAGCGACGACCCGGGACTAGTTTCATGGGTCATTTGCCGCTGTTCTGTGCTGGACTGCACGTCTGTGCTGCCTGAGTACCGCCATCATGCGTGATCCTGTGTCATCACGTATGTAAGACCTCACACAAAGGGGGGTGCTTCAAAACACTCACGCAGAAAGAAGCAAGACTTCACTAAACTTTTAAAAATAAAGTTTTGAATTCTGAACCACGTACGTATACTTTCTATTAGAAAAAAAGTAGATACTTCCCCACCACATTACGATGTTCAAACAACTTTTATCTTGAAGCATTTCTATTTACTTTATGTGTCTCCTGCTAGAATGTACAGTCCACACAGGCAAGGATTTCGTTCACGTTTAGGCTTGGAGCCTCAAACAACTTTTGGCACACTGAAAGTATCCAGTTAATATTTGTGTAATAAAATAAATATAAGAAGCATGGTGTGCACAGTTAGCATAGTCTCTGCCCAGCAAAGACCTGCTATACATGTTTTGAGAATTTCTGAGTCCCCAGGATTCTTTGCAAATGTTGGTAGCAGGCGCAGTGAATGGGGCCCTGAAGGCAAGCTCCCTGACACGAGCTCGCAGCAATACACCCGGGTAAGTGCTCTGCCAGCCCCTCCTTCGAATCCACTTGGAACCTTTGTACAAATTAGAAAATAGTGAACCTGCCAGGAGAAGGCACGCGGCAGGGCCACAGAGCCTGGTGAAGGAGCCCTGGCGCCCGTGCTCCGAGGCGAGGAATGGGGCTGAGCAGGAGAGAACAGATCGATAGCAAGCAAGGCTACGGTAGCATGCCCTCTCCAAAACTGGACATTATGGCTTCAACCCTGAAGAAAAGGCGAATGCCAGTTTCAAAATTTAGACAAAGCTCTTTGATGTCTTTTCTATATCAATGAAGCAATGATTAGAAACTACAACCTGCCCTCAAGGATTCTGCCTCACCTCTGCTGGGGAATTCTACAGCTCATTCTGAGCCGTTACGCTGAGCCTTCCTCATCAAGTACTCTCAAGTGTGAGGGAGCTGAACTAATATCGCGTGTGCATCTGATTACTTGTGCAGCCCGCTTCCCTCTTTCCTTTCGGATAAAGAACTAGGCTAAAAGAAAATGGTCCAAGGCTGCAGGGTAGTAAGGGGCAGAACGCAAGCCCCTTGTCTACCATTCTTGACAGGTCTGACCATAGCCCATGAAATGCCCATGAAATGCTCAGATTTTTGCCAACAGAAATGCTCATGACACACACTTACCATCCAACAGCCAGCTGTACTGGGTGAGATTTTTCAGCTCATGCAGGGCCAGCCGAGTCATGACATCATCTGGGATCAGCTTCCCTTGGTCGATGAAAGTCTTGGCTAGCACACCAATTTCTATAGCAGAAGGGGGAGAAAAGCATTTGCATTTGTTTGATCCTATTCCAGGCCCCCAGGAACTGGCTACCTAAAGCCAGCCTCTAGTAGCACACCCATACGAAAATGTGCAGCGTTAACTTTTCTGATAAAAACAGAGAGTACAAAGTAAGTTAAACCTATTTAAAATCTTCCGATGGAGAAAAGTATCAAATTATACCACGTACAGGTACAAATTCTCTTATGATGAATGTGATCATGTTGTATACCTAAAATGCACCATGATATCTGATTGAAAAAAATCCTCCAGTATGTAGAATGTATAAATATAAATATACACATAGAAAAAATAATGCAAAGCTATTACAGTCAATTTCTGTGTGATAGAACTGAGTGATTAGTTTTTACAAATTTGCAAAACTTTTCCATATTTTCCAAATTTTCTATCAGAAAAAATACGTGGAATAACAAATTGTTTTCTTTTCAGATAAGAGATTTGAACAGATACTGTGTTTTGAGGTGGATCAGTTTAAGTGCTCACTATCCTGCTAGTGTAGAGATTTCTCTAATCTCTAACAGGTGCTGCTGTCATAGGACAATTCGATTTTTGCCCAGAGTAGCATTGTGATCACACTGCACTGTTAAACAAAACATGCTGGAAAAAGATTATGAACAGTTTGAAAATATTACCCACAACTTTCTTTCCTTTTTTTTTGAGACAGGGTCTTGCTTCGTAGTTCATGGTGGCTGTGCATTCTCTCTGTAGCCCAGGTTGGCCTCCAATTCACAGCAGTCCTCCTGCCTCAGCCTCCCAAATGCTGGGATTACAGGCATAGCATGTCATTCTTATGCCACAGAATTTTAATTCCCTTTATGGCCCTTACCAAACTATTTACACAGACTGAGAACTGTAAAACTATTATAATCTGCATATATACAATTCTGTTCCTTTTTCACTATGAATTATTTTGTAAATACTATTATGTGACCTTAAAGGATCACTTCTGGTAAATATCGTTTCCATCAGCATCTATACATGCTCATTTTTTTTTCTTTTTTTTTTTTTTTTTTTTACATGCTCATTTTTCATATATAAATAATACAATTCCTCATAGAAATTCTGTTGGACATTTATATTATGTAAACTAGCCTGCTACATTTAACCACTCAACTTTTCTTTCTTTTTCATTTTTTTCTCTCCTGAATAATTTCTGATGGATAAATTCCTAGGACTCAGATTAAAGGGTCATGGCATATATGACCATTTTCATAACTGCTTGTATAAACTGCAATACTGAACAGATTCCAAATTGTGCAATGCATGAAACTTTATATTTTAACCAAGAATTAACTGCATGGAAACTGGCTGCGCCTTGACAGGTGCCCTGGGTTTACAAGCAGCATCCGGGACAGGGTCTGGTCCTGCCAGCGCTCTCAGCACTCACTAAAGCCATCTGTGACAAGGTCCATACACTTAGCATGTGCGGAGCTCTCTATCTCCAAGCGTTTGATCACTGCCTGGGCAGGTAGAGCTTCAACATCCTCGACAGTGTTGGGGAAAAAAATGTAAAAACTTTCAGTTCTTCAGGGCTGAGTCCTAAAAAAAAATACACTATTTGTCACTCCCCTCCCCGCCTGCACTGCAAGCCATGCCCTCTTCTAAACATCTACCCAGTCCAAGCTTGGTGGCACAAGCCCGTAATCCCCACACTTTGGGAAGCAGAAGGATCACTCTGAGTTCAAGGCCAACCTGAGACACATGGTTCAAGACCAGCCTAAAACTACATAGCAGACCCTGTCTCAAAAAATAAACATTCAACTAATTGCAACAAATGAATTTAGGTGACAAGACTAATAAAGTGACTAATTTCAGCATTAGAAGAGCTTTGAGAAAAGATAACCTGTTCCTATCACTTCTAATGGACATTACAGTAGATATTATAGCCACAGAAATCAATCCAGAAAAATAAACAAAAAGGATCTAGTTTATAAATGCATATACATTCATTTTTTATAAATTTTTTAATTAAAAAAAAGTTTTCCTAGAGGAGATCTGAACCCAGGGCCTTTGTACTAAGCTACATCCCCAGCCCTTTTTAAAATTTTTTATTTTGACATAGCAGCTCACAAAGTCACTAGGTTGCCCGGGCATTTTAAAAAAGAAGTGCAAAATTTGTAATCTGAAAACTATGATATTGTTGAAAGAAATTAAAGAAGCTGTAACTAAATGAAAAGACATTTGATATTTAAGGGCTGTAAGAATTAATATTGTGAAGCCAGGCGTGGTGGCGCACACCTGTAATCCCAGCACTCGGGAGGCTGAGGCAGGAGGATAGCTGCAAGTTCGAGGCCAGCCTGGGCTACAAAGTGAATTCAAGGCCAGCCTGAGCTGCATAACAAAACCCTGTCTCAAAAAAAAAAAAGAAAAAAAAAGACAAGAATTAATACTGTTAAGAGAGTAATACTCTCCATTAGTGACCTACAGATTCAGTGTAGTCCTATCAAAATCCCACCTACCTGATGTCTTTGCAGAAATGAACAAGAAATCCTAAAATTCATATGGAAATTCAAGGGACCCAGAATAGTCAGAACAAGCTTCAAAAAAAAAAGAAACTTGAAGGATACATACTTCCCATTTCAAAACAGCAACCATGCTTGTGTGGTAGCAGCATAAGAATAGACACATGAGTTCACAGAATAGAATTCAGAGTCCAAAAATAACCCTCAGATTTACAGTCAATTGTTCAACAAGGACACCAAGACAATTCAGTGAGGAAAAATAGCCTTTCCAACAAATGCTGCCGGGACAACTGAATAATCAGATATAAAAGAATGAAACTGCCTCATGCTTCATACCATACATAAAAAAATTAACTCAATACGAATACCTAAGAGTTAATACTATAAAACTCTGGAAAGAAAACATGGGTATAAATCTTCATGACTCTGCATGACGAGCTATGCACATAAAATGTCCAGAACAGAGCTGGGCCTGGTGGTGCATGCTTGTAATCCTAGCACTTGGGAGGCTGAGGCAGGAGGATCACCATGGGCTACACAGTAGGTTCAAGGCCAGCCTGAACTACATGGGAAGACCCTGTCTCAAAAAGCAAAAACAACAACAAAAGTTCAAAAAAGGCAAACGTATAGACAGAAGCAAGATTTAGTGCTGCCTGGAGCTGAGGAGAAATGGAAGGACGACTGCTAATGGAACAGGCTTTGTTTCTGAGGTAATAAAAATATTCCAAAACTGGTTGTGGCGATGGTTGCACAACTCGATATACTAAAAATCAGTGAGTCATACACTTTACAAGGGCTAATTTTATGGTATGTGGATTATTTCTCAATAAACATTTAAAAGAGAAATGAAAAATTCATGGCAAGCAAAAAAAAAGAAAGAACAAAAAGCTACTCATAATCTAATTACTACTCTGAGATAATCTTAATTATCATTAAAACTGGTAATAGAAGCTGGGCATGGTGGTGCACGCCTGTTATCCCAGCACTCTGGGAGGCTGAGGTAGGAGAATCACAAGTTCAAGCCCAGCCTGGGCAACTTAGGAGGGCCCTGTTCCAGAATAAAAAATAAAAACAGGGTTAGGGATGGCTAAATTCAATCATCAGTGCCAGGAAAAAAAAAAGCAGTTTGCTGACTACATTTTAAATGTTTACCCCCTCCCCAAATTATACTGAAAGACTGTGATCTGGGATTTTTTTGGACATTTAGTAAATTTTATTACTGTATATCTTGTTAGATTTCTTATAAAAATACCATTTACTTCAAAAATTAACAAATTTGGATGTAAAAGGCCCTGGATTCAACCCCCAGAACCACAAAAGAAAAAAAAAAAGAAGAAGAAGAAGAAGAAAAATTTTTAAATGTGGGAGCTTCCACATTTACAAAACACAAAATGTTAATTTAAAAGTACATTATTCATAATATGCTAATTTTCTATTAAGTCGTATGCAAAAAAAAAAAAGTAGGAAAGTTAGAGGAAAATATGTAGGGGTAGGGGTCTCTACACGAAAAAAGCAGAACAGGAGCCTCGCTGGGTCTTCTAGCTAATCCTGACTAGGTGTTTAAAACAAATTTTCCTACAGAAATTCCCCTGGGAAGCAGGTGAAGTACCTCCAGAAAGAAACTGAACAGAAAGACCGAGGGAAGAAATGACAGTCCACAGAGGTGCCCTGAAGCCAATCCCGTTATGGCAACTTGAGGGGTCTCTCACCCTTCATAAAAGCAGCCGGAACAAAGGCGCTCAGGTCCTTCATCCTTCCAGAGTCCCCCACCCTGATTCTTTCTTCTGAGGGTAGTTATCAGTCTTCTCCCTTCTCCCCCTTCCTTTTCCTCTTTACAAATCAAGTGTCTTCCTTTTGATGAACTTTGTCCCTCAAATGTTTTACTGGGGCTGACTTTATGATTCTGGTGGGCCACCTGGATAGCACAGCAGTGACGCTCCCGCCCCAGATGTGGTATCTTTGGTTCCCTGGAGCCGGACATGACAAATAGTGATGGTCAAAACCAGCTCTTAAGGGTAATAATCACAAATCAGACATTCATTTGAGAAGTGTGTTTATATTACATAAAAATTCATTTTTACTTCTATATCTCCTTTTAAGGTCTGATCGCTTTCATATTACCCAAGCCGGCTACACTTTGTATTTGAAAGGGATAAGCAGCTCTGTGGTCCAAAAAAAGAGGCACTTGAAAGCCTATAAATAAGAGTTCTCTTTTACATGTACCAAGAGAAAGGGCCTCAGAAATTAGCCTAGTTCCTGCCAAAATTGCTTTTAGCATCATTATATAGTAAACAACATAGGACTTTACTTTTAAGATGTGTCAAAACAGAACGAGGACAACAAACAACAGCCTTACACTCCCTCACGGGCTTTTTGCAGAAACCGGTTTCATCCATTGTTTTTGTTTTGTTTTGTTTTTGTTTTCCGGTACCGGGAATCGAACTCACGTCCTTGGGCTTGCCAGGCAGGCACTGTGCCGCTGAGCTACATCCCCAGCCCCT